ATATGCCATAACCTATCAATATTTTTAGCTTATTTTGTTTTTTAATTAATGCTCTTCTGACTTATAGTATCAATTTTAAATTCTAGATTTTTTTAATTTCACCTAAGTTCACCCTTAAGTACAATTGGGATTTTCCCCCTCATGTCCACGGAAATTAAACTGTATATATTATATAATTTGATGCGACTAAAACCATATGAATTCAATAAATTAATCATTTTTGATGTCAGAAATTACAAAAATGTCAGTAATTCATTTTTATTTGACATTTTTAATTTTGATTTTAATGTTAAGCTTTGCATGATTTATATTATATCTATTTATATATGCACGTGTTAATTGGGCATATATTTACGTAAAACATACATTCAATCCAATTTAGTTATTAAAAAAGTGCCCCTTAATTATTTCTCTTCGATTAATGTATCGTTGTCTTTACAGTCACCGTTGTCTTTTGTTGTATATAACGGAGAGTGTAAGTGTCCAAAGAAATGTCTTAATGTTAAATTATAGATAGTAGTTGTTTAAGATGATGTTATTTTGTGACTTGAAACAAAAATAATTCATTGTCCAATTACCAAAAGAGTGGCGAAAGATACCAAAGGGACATTCAAACTATTAAAAACTTACAACGCCATGGCAAAAAAAAAACGAAAAGACCAACAGACAAACAGACAAACAACAATATACAAAATATAACATAGAAAACTAAAGACTGAGTAACGCGACCCCCACCAAAAACCGGGGTGATCTCAGAGGCTCAGGAAAGGTAAGCAGCTCTTGCTTCACATGTAGTTTAAGATGATGTAAATGCGCGACTTAAAAAATAGTTCATTGTCCAATTACCAACTTTTTTTCCAATTAAAGTCTTTTTTGCATAAGGAACAACAACGTAGTAACGTGTATGCCTGCTTAAATAAAGCAATGGAAGCCAGCATGGTCTATTTCAAGCATCTTATTTTTTTTTGGTGCAACACACATTTAGGAAAATGTTGCAAAATATGTTTCCACAGGTTGGCGAGGGAATGGATATAGTTTGTCCAACTTAGGGTTTTGCCTATGTCCTAAACAAAACTCTAAAATTGTAAACACACTTGTTAATTAGAAAATGTACTAATGCGTTGAAAAAATAACATTATGCCAAACATAGCAGTTTATGCTACAGTGAAAAAATGCATGGTTCTTCATCTGTAAATAAAATGGTTTTTTTTAACATTGAGTCTTTGAACTTAATATAATTTATTAATAATTTACTGGTACTTCGTTGTTGTTGTGTGTAATACCAAATTAGTTTGATTAAGTCTACAATAGATAAACTCTGTCCAAATCTCGTATAGCGATAAAGAAGAGAGAAATCAAGGCAACAAATAAAACTGAGGGGTTCGCAAAAACTCTGAAAACATCGCGACCGGGTGCGTAGATATGGTAAGCGTCTCCTGCTATACATGCTTCACCCGCCATGCTCAGTCAAAATTTCACAGTCGGGAATAAGACACACTCGATAAAACTACAGATCAGACAACTATACTGCTATATTAGAATCGAAGACCGCAAAATCATGTCCCCAATGAGTTAGATTCGGTCGATTAGGTTGCCTTCTTAGTTTTTATTCGTATCTTTCTTAAATTTGGATGGATATTACAAAAAAAGAGGAATGACTGCTGAATGCATAACAAGCAATAAAAATCAGAAAAAGATAAGCATTATAATAACGAAATAAATAGCAAAAGTTTTACAGATCGAGGATTCAAGAAAAAGGGATTGACGCGTTATTGTGATATAAACAAAATCGGTGAGTGCAGCTAGGCTAAAAAATGACGGTTGTATGCCAAAAAAAATCAAACTTATAAAGGGACATGCGATAACGCATAGATCAGAAAGTACAAAATAGATTTTGTTATAGACACTTTTTGATTTTTTTTATCAGTGGTTGTTACAGAACTCGAAATCTTTAAGAGCAGCGTTTCTTATAATTGAAATCACAAATTTGCAGGCTGTAGATGAGAGTAAATATAATATAATATTATAATAAAATAATTACAAATTGCTTCCTGAAAAAGAAACCCAACCTAGCAGTATAACCATAGCTGTATTTCCCAATTATATTCCGTTTAACAAATAACCATGTTTCGTTCTACTTTTTAAAACTGCTCCTGTTTCTATACATGGTTAAACAAAATGAATAACCTTATGAAGGTTATTTCATCATAGGACATCATGAGTTCATCGACTTTCAAAAAAATTGTTGTAATGAATGATATAAAGTTTAAATTTAACAAAAATGGTTCCGTCACTTTTTGTACAAAACTATCTGCCTTTACATTCACAAATATATTTAATTAAATGATACACGAAATTGTAATAGCGAGACTATTAAACTTTGTCATGTAAGGTGTGGAAGATTTATCAATTAAATCACAGACTTACTATATATAATTATTTATTTAGTCAGTGGTGTCTGATTTATGATTGAATGCTACTTCAAAGACTTATTCATTCAAATTAAATTTCTTATGTCATATCTATGTCAGTGTGTCATTTTTTTATGGAATAACATTTACTAAGGTCCACTGCACATTAATTGTAATTAGAGCGTGACCGTGGGTATTGTTTGTCCTACCGTTTTATGAATTAAATGTACAAGTGTTGATAGTTCAAACTAAATACACGATGATTATTGCTTTCCAATGTCGCCAATGTTATTGTTTCTGTGTACGTAAACTGTCAATTTTGTTTGACTTCACATGTACGGCCTTTCAAAGAGTTGGCACCAAAAATACAACCAGCAAAGCAAATGTTTCAAGGGAAAATGTACCTTATAGATTAGGAAAGCCTTTAAACAAACATCTGATTTCTTGTCCTGGTTTGGATTGAGTTTGGTCCTTTTTGGTTTAATCAGTTTTTTGTTTCAGGTTTTGGATTTTCAAAACATGAGACTTAGAGCATCATTGAAGAGACATTGATTGTCAAAATGCTTACTTTGTGGAGTATTTGATAATCGTTAATGTGCCTTTTATCGAAAATTACGTCTAGAAATTTACAATGAGGGTCGGTTTAGAACAAAATTTACGACAAAAGAGATGATTTCAGTTCCCAATTTCCATATCTATGAAGCAACAATTAAGCAGCGCCTGCATATGCAGTATTTATCCCCTAGTTGATACGATATTCCAGATCTTGCATTTACTATCATGATGTCCTTGGAATATGATTGAAGATTACAAGGAAGCTATTGAACTAAGAGTTCCAAGCGAGGAAATTAAAATCATCCCTTCGAATATTTTACGGAAGCCATCACGAGTTGTTTGACGGTTATGGAATATCTGACATAGAAGACGACGTTTATGTTCCAATTGTCGTAACCACAATACCGTCCTCTTTTCCTCGAATGTGACCTACCGAATTAGACTTATCACAGGGTTTGTTTTTACATGAGCAACACGTCAGAGTATACATGTGGAGTAGGATCTGCTTACCCTTCCGGAGCACATAAGATCACTCCCGATTTTTTTTGTGGGGGTGTCATGAAACAAATCAAGGTAATAGACAAAAACGAAGTGAATCGTATACCTCCAAAAAGGAGCAAGAACGGGTTTGTCTACGGGGTAAGAGTATCCTGATATACATGCATCACCCGCCATGCGAATTTACACTCAACCAAAATCGGAAATACCCAGTATGATGCAATAGGTAAAATTACAAGCTAAAGGTCCAAGACCGCGAAATATGTCGCTAACGAGTTGAGACACAGACATATCGTATCGGTTAAACAAGTTAGTGAGGATGACCGTAAAAGGTAGGTAGTGTCGATTTCAGTCGTTTTTCGACATAACTCAAATGGAGTAGATTTTGTGTAAGGAAAACATCCCTTGTAATAAAAAAAGTGTTAACATACTTGAGCGTAACGTATTAACTGATATATGCAAATGCCATACGATGGAGCAGAGAGTATGTAACTGCTTGTAAATGGAATGATGACAATTGGAAAGTTGAAATCATCACGTTTGTCATATATTCTAGTTTATAGTTGTCCATCCGAGTCAATATCGAGGAAAATGTAAAGATATGAAGCAAAAACTTCTCCTTTTGTAGTTTCCTTTATCTCAAGTCACTAGGATATATGAGATGTAAGCACTCATTGGGATATGGTCTGTTAAGCGACAGAACATCATCAATATATCTGAAAATGTGATAAATAACCATTGCAATATATATTTTATATTTGAAAAGTTCTTTATGAATTTTGCATCATATGAGTACAAAACAAAGTCGCCCGGTAGTGCACAATACTGTATTTGGTGAAAAATCTAGACTCAAACGATCAAAAAACTTAAGAGTTTGTGCAATTAACTCATCTTTTTGTTTTATCCCGTGATTTGGATCGTTAAATAGATTTACAACATTTTAACTTCGGTCAACTGTAGTTGCCTAAGTTAGTATAAATTAAGCTTATTGTTTTTTCTTTTTTTCATGTCGAGTCTTTTATAGTCAATCTATACGGTCTTGGTTTTGGTCATTGTGAATGACCGAACATTACCATATGGTTGTTGACATCATCGTCCGTTGCTCTTTGGAAGAAAATTATCTCAATTGCAATCAGACCTAATCTCTTTATTTTCATATATATACATATAAATTATATCAGTTCTGTTAAAATGTTACAATATATGTCTGTACATTATTCAGATTTTCGGAAAAAAATAAATTCCGCCAGGAATGAAAGGCAGAAACTTTGTTTACCCACTTTGCAGTAAGTCGAATATTTCAAAAGGATTAAAATGAGCTTTTTGTTTACCAGCACCAGCAGCATCGTTACATTCACCTTATTACTCAAACTATGGTCACAGTCAATTGGTTGTTTGTCATTTTGACATATTTCATTACAAGTTTGATTTGTATATATCTAATAATTGCAAATTTGAATAATTCATCATTACAAATTTTAATTTGATTGAATTTTTAATGAATTGTATATTTACCTTCTATGTATGTTGTGTCAGGCAGTACTCTAGCTGAACGTTGAGAGAACCAGGTGTAATGGGGGAGTTATCGGTGATGCTTACTTTGAGTCTTCTCTATGGAAATATAATTGATCCAAGTAAGTCAATTATACAGAGATAATGTTTTCTTACAATTAGATGTAAACATTTTACTTGTACCTTTAGATTTTCATATTGGTATACTAGTAAAACTGTTTCAAGTCTTGATTGTAAAGTCCATTTCTTTTCTCTATATGTTTGTACGAATAAAATGTGCAAAAACATTTCAAAACAAATTTTGGTTTTGCATTTTTAGGATAATAAACTAAACGGATAATTATTTTTTTCAGAAAATATCTTTTATTCTTATTATCCTAAGTTTCGGGTATCTTTTGGGTTGTTTTTTATGTTAAATGCTATTATAATCAAGAATACGGTATGAGAGCATTTTGAAAAGTTTTCAGAAACGAAAAATTAACCAGCTTGTGAATTTTGTACGTAAAAAGAACGTTTATTATAACTTTTCGCTCGTAATAAAGTGTTTTTTTTTTCTTTCTTTAGATGGCACACTTTTTAATATATTAAGCTTAGTTGATGCAATAGGGCAAGAAAATCGTTTCTTTTTATCGCTATTGCTCTTGGTCTAGTTGTATTATAATCAGTTAGACGATACTATAAAGCTATACATTATAATAATTAATTTCAAGCATGTAGACAACTGATGAAAATTAATATTTTGTGTTACGTTATAACTATTATGAATACAAATATCGCACTGTATTGATGATAAATCCTGTGCAGCCCATTTTTACGTCACATAATTAAACCACAGAACTGAAAAAGTTTAATTCCTGTCTGATATATGAGGGTCTAGAAGAGATTAACAGATTAGTTAATAATTGACTAAAATAGGGAATAAAGGGCACACAAAAGAAATAGAGATTAATATAGAGCTAAGATATAAAAAAAAAGAAAAAAATGCCGAACTCCACGGCAAATTCAAAAGGGGAAGTCCATATAAACTGACAAAATCAAACGTTATCAACCAACAAAACGAGTGGAAAACAACTGTCATATTCCTGACTTGGTACAGACGTTTCCAGACGAAAATGCTGGATTAAATTGTTTGTTTTTGTTGCAGTTCAGTGTTTCTGTTGTTCCTTTGTTTTCCTCTTATAGTTGATGTGTTTCCCTCGGTTTTGATTTGTAACCCGAATTTGTTTTCGCTCAATCGATTTATGACTATTGAACAGCGGTATACTACTGTTGCCTTTATTCATAGCTAGAAAAACCTCCCACTTGTATGACATTGGTTTATAATTCCGCTATATTGACAAGATTGGGTGAGTAACAAACAAGATATAATAGGTTAATGTGACAATAATTGGGATGCAGCAGCCAAAACTGTGTAAACATACATCACAGGCTTACAACACAACTGACTAAAACATTATAGAGAAAAAGCTTAAAAGTCAAAGGAGATTCCCCATCCAGACCATCATATAATTATATCTGCTATAATTGATAATTTGCTCTATGACAAAACCCTGTCATGTCATTGCTTTATATGAAGGGCACTTCTCTTTCACTTTGGTAATAAAAAAAGCAATTAAAGTCAACATACAACCTAATTTGTATGATGTATTCACATAGTTGTATACCATTTGTCTAACAGTTGCTATTTACATCGTATCTATTTTAATTTTTCATGCTTTCAAGGAAAGTAACAGATTCTCTGTGAACAAGTTTACTTGCATAATACTATATATGTAAAAAGTCTAAGTGTGTAAACGTTTTTTGATTACATCGCAAATAGTTTCGGTTATAGGTTCGTAAGTCTTACGATATTGATTAGGACTTTTTCTTTCCGTCTCTAATGATTATTAATCAGACAGAACTATTAAAGTGTTTGTTTTGTATATTAGATATAGATAAGAAATTAAGTTATCGACAGGTTGTATGTATTTTTATAAGAACTAATTGCAACCCTTTAGTATAAGATTGTCCTCTATTGTTATGAATCACATTGTATGGCCAAACTAAATTAAGATCAGTTAAAGTTCCATTTGTTGGAAAAATTAGATTAGACTTATATTTACATTTCTATGTAGCAACATTCCAGCAGCGCCTGCATACAGAGTGTATATCTCCCAATTGATACGATATTCCCGGGCTTGTAATTCCTATCATGATTTCCTTGATAGAGGATTGCTGCTCCCAAGGAAGCTATTAAACCAAGAGTTCCAAATGGTGAAGTTGAAATCATCCCTTCGTAAATTTTACGGACGCCATCACGAGTTGGTTGATCGTTATGGAATAACCGTTTCACAGATGATATCGGATATGTTCCTTATGTCGTAACTACAATACCCTTCCCTTTTCACGAATGTAACCTACCGAATTAGACTATTTACCGGATTTGTAATAAAATAAGCTACACGATGGGTGCCCCATGTGGAGCAGGATCTGCTTACCCTTCCGGAGCACCTGAGATCATCCCCAGTTTTTGGTGGGGTTCGTGTTGCTTAGACGTTAGTTTTCTATGTTGTGTCATCTGTACTATTATTTGTCTGTTTGTCTTTTTATTTTTGGCCATGACGTTGTCAGTTTGTTTTCGATCTATGAGTTTGAATGTCCATCTGGTATCTTTCGTCCCTCTTTTATACAAAAAGCAATATTTACAATTTTCTAGATTTTGATATTTTAGTTTCATATGTAAAACTACATGCAAACATTAAAGAGATCATGTTTCGTATCCTGTTGTTAATTTACTTTTGTAGATCGTGCAGTTCTTTTGGCTCGTATGAATGTGTGTATATATCCTAAATTGTTCGCTACTCCCATGTCTGTAATGAAGTTTAAAATATCAATAAACATAATAGATGTATAACTGGTAAATTGATAAAGGAACCCACAAAGTAATTAAATCTTTGCTAAATTCTTTTTTTAATACAAAGATTTGTGTGGGAAGTTTGGAGGTACCTGCAGAAATCTTATTACAAACGGAATATTACATCCAAGTTTTACGATGATATTGTTCATAGATCCCTCAGATTTAGATACGATCCATGTAAACTTATTGATCCCTGAAAAAAACTTATTCTTAACGATTATTATCTGCTGATTATCTTTTGGTCTAATTCTTTTTCTGCCATGGCGTTGTAAGATTATTTTCGACTTATGAGTTTGAATTTTCCTTTGGTATCTTTCGCCTCTTTTTCAGTCTGAGCGATTTGCAATTTTTTAAGCACAAATTACATAATTTTCATGAATTGAAATTTGCAGACAAAATGTTTTATTTGATATGCCAATATCAAGGATCTTGTACTGAAAGTCCGAGCTATGGTACAAATCAAGTGGGAGTAAAGAACCTCAAAATAAAATCAATCCATCAATCCGAGTTTTTTCGGCTATAAAGTGTTGATAGGTTAGATATCTATAAGACATCAGTTTCAAACGTTTTAAGTTTGTCACATGCATCTTTAAATTTTGAATTTTTTTTACATTATTCGTACTTCAACATTGTTTTATGTACTTGTGCCATTTTAGCTCAGCAAGAATGATGGATTAAATATAGGAATTAATTTTGTGGTAGCTTTCGTGACAGGAAAAGAAACCATATCCGCTAACCAAACAGTTTGGGTTCGATTTTAACTAGTTTTATACATTTTTTTCACAATGTAAACATGCTCTTTTTTTGTTTAACTAGAAACACATATCAAATGACATGTATATTAAAATTAATTTTACGCAGACCTCAATGAGGAAACATCAAACAAACTATAGATTATGCAATACGTTTAGTAGTAAAGGGTTATAATTCGCGAAATTAAACATGCAAATAATTAGGAAAGATAAACAAAAGTGCTTATGCACATTCAATGAAAAATACGGAGGCTTAAATTACATATCTCTTCTTTTTCTTGTATGAATTAAACTAGTCTTAAGTTTTGTAAACACAAAATTACATGACTAGCAAAGCCTTCTTATTTTTCATTCAATGTGCATAATCACTTTTGTTCGTCTTTTCTTATTATCTGTATGTATGCTTTAATTTCCCGAATTAAACATTTTGTTACAAAGTTAATGTGACTTTTAACTTAGATTTCCACATCTGAAAAAAGGATTGAAGAGTTGGTAGCTATCTTCAATTTCACAAATTTTTGTTACAAATGTGAGCAGAAAATAAAATAACATGACTAGCAGCTACTAAACACATTCTTAAAGAAGATACTTAATATTAAGCAAGTTCGACCAGCAAATGTAATTTACTTAAGTTGTTAAATAACCTATCATTTTGTTCAACCTACAAATAAATAAAGAGGATCATGTAAATCCAAATTGGAATAGATTGCAAAGTGTATACAAACCTTAAGACTAGTGTTGATTCACACAAGAAAAAGAAGAGATATGTAAATTAAGCCTCCCCATTTATTATTCAATTTGCAATTTTTTTTATTGTCTTTCCTAATTATCAGTATGTCTTAATTTCGCGAATTATAACCCTTTACAGTTATTGCATAACCTATAGTAAGTTTGATGTGTCCTATCTGTATGCTTTAATTTCCCGAATTATAATCCTTTACTACTGAACGTATTGTATAACCTATACAGTTTTAAGTTTTATGTTTCCTCGTTATTAATAGTAAGTTCAAGTACATTCTTTATTTATAAATTACTTTGTACTGTAACTCAGTTCAGGTTATAAAAAAATAGTGTTAACATTAAGTATTTCTTCTCATTTTATTTGAGTCAGAACAGTTGATAGTTATTTGTGAATTTTTTTTATTTTTTTCTTAATCATAAAGCATTAAGATAATAGCAAATTTGTGTTCCAATTTTTCTTTTGTCAAAACGGTATGAATTTTTGTTTAATATTGCTATCAATTAAGTGGAATGTTGACCACAAACTCACTTCATTCATGCCAATATATCTTCATTCATTTGTCATGTTTGTCATTTTTGAAAATGCAGTACTAAAATGAACCATTTTCAAGAAGAAAAAAATCAGATGACTAATGTTGTAAAATAATATAAGTCGGTGAGGGTTAAGATTGAACACGGTCATAAGTACATGTGCCTCTCCTACGTCTGAAACCCCGCTGGTGATTTTCATGTTATATCTGAATGTAGATTGTAGATAAGCTGTCGATGGCAGTTCTTTGATTATTGTTGTTTATAACGGGTTTTTTTTTTCTTTTAGACTCAAGACATTAAAGAACATGTTTTGTCTTGTGATTATCATTTAGTTGAGTGTCTGTCTCCATGACGAAAAACCAACATCTCGTATTTCAGAATTAATCAACGACTTTTAAAATCATAATATATTAAATATTCTTTCTGAGAGCAGATCATAGATCTAAACAGATGGATCAGCGTTAATGACATTGTTTTTGTAAGATGAAATACATAAGAAAATTTAAAAATGCTTCACAATTGTTACTGCAGGAGTATTAAATTGCTTGATTAAGCAACCAACCCAACCTGTTAAACATAATTTTAATATCACCACATTTAACAATATCAATTATGAAACGGCAATCGAATTATTTAATATTCCACATGTTTCAAGCAAAGAATATATTTCACTTTTCTTAATATAGGAAGCATTAACTATGTTGGTTATTTTAAGATGACACAAGAAAATTTTATTTGACAAGGCTGCTATATTTAAAACACATTTTCGTGACCGAATCTGACCTTTTATAAAGTTCTTTTTCAACTGCCCAAATATTTACCTGGCTATTTATTTGTATTATTTAGTATTTTTAATGTATACAATAATATATTCATTTTTGTCGTTATTTTTATTCATTTTTATCTTATTTTATTTATTTTTTTAAGAAAAAAACGTAATCTACATTTCGCATTTATCATGTACTGAAACTGCCATCTTGTCATTTAGCTTACATCTATTTTTTTGGTTAATGAACATGGTTGTGCATTAAAGTTGTCCCACCTATGAGGTTAGTGTTATGGTACGTCGACATTCATACAAACTTGGAGTTCGGTATTTTTGTGAATATAAATATAAAAAGATGTGGTATGATTGCCCATGAGACGACTATTCACCAAAATTCAAATGACGAAGATAAAAGCAACTAGATATCATTGAGATGGGAGCCATCTCTGTGGGCCCCGCTGTGAATAATGTGTGGTAAAAAATTTGTATCTTTATCATTGGACATGGGGTTGTCAACTGAAACCAAAGTTTTTGACCTTGACCTTTGACCTAGGAAGTTGTACATAAATTATGACACACCCTCTGGTGTTGGTTTAAATACATGTCTAGTATAAATTTTGAAATAATAACGGTTCTCAATATATAGAGCGGACACGATCTTTACCATAGGACATGGGGTTGTCAACTAAAACCAAAGTTTTTAACCTTGACCTTTGACCTAGGAAGTTGTACATACATTATGACACACCCTCTGGTGTTGGTTAATATATATGTCAAGTATAAACTTTGAAATCATAAAGGTTTTCTAGATATAGAGCGGACACAATTTGTTACGGACGGACGGACAGACGGACGGGTAGACTGATCACTATAGGGCGTCCGCCACTTGGCGGGGCCCTAATTATAGAATACTGTACGACCTTCAACAGTGAGAAACCACATATCGTGAAGTCAGCTTCTAGTATAGAAGGCCCGACATAATAAATGTGAATTATACAATACAATTTACTAAAAACAAATATGACAGACATGAACCAACAACAACCACTGAATTACAGGCACCTGACTTGAGGCATGCCCATAAAGGATATGGTTGGATTAAACATGTTTGTGAGTGCTCAACTCTCCCCTAACATGTGACAGTGGAGTACAACACACATGTAGGAACAAACTGTAAAAATCAGTTTCAAATGGATTAACTCATTAAATAGGTCCGAAGCACAAATAAACCAACTTACATAAAAAAAATAGACACAAAGCACCGATATAAGGGTACTCGCAATTACTGTTACAGTACACATACAGAAATGTGTTTGGAAGATTGATTACAAATTCGAAAATTTACTTTTATAAGATTACTGAGATTGAGTAACAAAACGTGCATCTTTTTTGTCATGCGTTCGAAATTGGGTAAGGTGAACTATTTGTTCTCTTCTTCTTTTCTAAAATTAAAGTATTAACTCCCGCGTAGTTAGAAAGGATTAAAAGGAGATAGATCGTTGACACTTCATTACTGTGAACCAGGGTATCCTCCTAACAGGGAATTGAGTTTTATAATTAGGATTTTAGAGTATTCATTATTTGGAGAATATCATGATATGATTACCATTTGTACAGTGTTTTGTGATTTAATGTGGATTACAGGTTAAATAAAGGTATCCTCGATTTCCTAAATTAGAGGTGAAGAACATAATCAGATACATATACACGCATACAGCATATATTTGTAGAATTACCTTCATTAGGTCACTCGAGACCAATCAGAACATTTGCTTGAAAACATGCATAGCATTTCCCGTACTTTCATACTATATCCTCCTCTATACAAAAAAAAATGCTCCTATTCAATATGGCTGTAATAACCGTGAAGTGGCCTATTAGCACAACTACATACTTAAATTGACTTGTAATTCACAGACAGAATGCATTATCAAATTCGTGCCAGTACCGAAATGAGTATTGGGAACAGGCTATTGACTTTGTTTTTTAAGCTGCGTTTTACAATATTGTTTTCATTCCCCGTGTTATATTTCGTCACTGTGCAAAATAGCATTTCATTTGCATCTACATATTAGATATCCGATCCACACCATTGCATTGTCTTCCACTTATTTCGTTTTTAAGTAACTCAAAAAAGTTCTAACTTCATCGCATTGGTGTGATATTATATATCAAGGTAAATGTTCGTTAAGCCAAACTTTTTACAATGTTTAACTCAAAATTTTGGAATTTAAATAGTCCTTGTAAAATATATAAATATTATCTAATATATTCATTTTCAGACAGTTTACAGACTTTTTCATTTTTGTTTTAATCTTAAGAAAAGATTTGCATGTGCGCGTTTCTGATTTTATTTGACTTTCATTTGCCACACTTTTGTCAGAGTTTTTGTGAATTATTATCAACTGTCAGAATAATTTTCATTTGCCACACTTTTGTCAGAGTTTTTGTGAATTATTATCAACTGTCAGAATAATTTGACTTAGCTTATTTTGTTATAATTTTGGTTAATGAATATCAAACTTACTTCAATAGAAAAAACTCCATCAGCCAATTATCTTCGACAGCCAGAAATGTATAAATGCTTTCATTTGCAGTAATATAATCACAACATGCTGTGTGTGCCTGTCGCAAGTCAGGAGCCTGTAAGTCAGTGGTATTCGTTTGTTGCTGTATGTTATTTTTGTTTTCGTTTAAAGTTTTGTACATAAATCAGGCCGTTAGTTTTCTCGTTTGAGTTGTTTTACATTTGTCATTTCTTGACCTTTTATATCTTACTATGCGGTATGGGTTTTGCTCATTGTTGAAGACCGTACGGTGACCTATAGTTGTTATCTTCTATGTCATTTTGGTCTCTTGAGGAGAGTTGTCTCATTGGCAATTATACCACATCTTCTTATTTTTATATCATCATTAAGCAGACCATATCTCTTATGTGTTCATCTTCTTATTACATGACAAAACATTCAAAACATTCTAAAAGATAAAAACAAATGGGACCTTCCCAAAGTTGAAAATGGTTAAAAAGTATTTTCAAACTCGTCTTTCGTTATTGTTTTATTATATAATTATAAGTTATATCACTCTGTACATGAATTTGATTGAGAACTATTTGATTTATGACTTGATTTTAACTAGAAATGAGTTGACATCATCAAACACAACTTCCGTTCATGCATATTTCATAAAATTTATCTTATAAAAAAATTTACACGACAAAGATGCACGGTATGAAATATTTCTTATGGCAATAAAGCGTTTTTTACGTAAGTGTAGTAACTATGAAACTAAGCATAAAACATTGATTTTGATTATTTCAGAAACAGGAAAGGACCAAACTGGGCATCACTGGAGCTATTTCGGTGATTCTGGTAGGTTTTAATTTTACTGTTTGATACTTTAAATGCAATTATTATTTCTTCCTAAAATTTTGGTCAAAGAACTCTCGAAACCAGCTCATCTTCGTTCTTATATGATATAGATCAATAGACTCGCTGCAAAATTGGGAAAAAAGATCTGATTATAAAATTCTCTTCTTAAGGAATATGTACAAAAACAAATCCAATATGTTGCCTTAAATTCAAAAACGTCATAAAGTATTGTGAATATTTAACATGACATCCTTCAGATGTTAATTGTACATTGGTTTATTAAGTAGCCGTAATCATATCTTCGCGTTTTGTCTTACTTATTTATATACATTCCATATACAAAACTGCAAAAATAACGTCCTTTTCAGATCTTATCGTTAATATTAAGATATGAGCTGAGGCCTCAAAATATTTTGGTGGAAAATAACTTATCTGAAGATGGTAAAAAGAAAGAAATATCTTTTGGTATAACACCTTGGTTTCCATTTTATTTGACAAAAACTGTGTGTAAGATGGACATTCAATGTTAAATTTGTCAATTTCGAATGTTTAAGGCATCAAAGTGACGTAACAAATGATATTTCTTTACTAGGGTGCCCAGATTATATTGATCTTTTTAGTTAATTATAATCATAAAATGAATTCATTTTCAAAGGCTTAAAGATTTTAACTATCTTTTTAACTCCAGGGACCAAATATTACCTCTTGTCATACTTTCATCTGTAGGTGTTTGATACAGGGACGTTCGTTTATAAATTCAATTGATGAATAACTAACAGATGTAATAGTTGTTAAAGCACGACCAGATGTCATTTCGAGCGCGTTAACATAGATATTTTGCCCAACCCCTGTTTTCTAATACATTTCAATTAAGTAGTTTATTTTTATTTAAAAAATTGTTTTATAAACTAGATACGTACCATCATAGTTTTAGATAATAGTCCACTTGCAACTCATTTCAATCTGAAAAAGTTTAAAACACAAAATAAATCTACCCTTGACCACCTCAGTCACTGTGTGGCGCAAGTGTGTACTTACCCTTCATTTCTTCTTCAAACAAAAGCATAAATAAAGAATGAAGGATAAGTGGGTGGGACTTCTGATATATTATTGTAAGTATTTATAGTACAGAACCAAACTTTTGATACTGAAAATAATTTTTTTTTACAATGGTTACGTTACCATAATTTTAGATAACATAGTTAGCGTAACTTCAAATCTCTGCAGAAATATACTTCCTGCGCTGACAGAAAAAGCCCCTAGAGAAGATAGGAAGTCTTAATGGAGGGGTTTTGAGAGGTTTCGAGAATAAAATGTATTTTAAGACCTCCTGTAACAAGCTAATCAATTTTACAAAATGGAAGTTTATTTGAAAATGTTTGAAGAAGGAGCTCTTACAAGAACAGGAATTCCAGGTTACCGGAACCAGCTAATGCCAGAAGGAAAGTCAATTCAAACTTTTGTAAGAAAGTTGATTCGTAGCCATAAAAGATGAAACAGTCAAAAGTGAAACTGGAGACTTTTCTGTTGAAACACTAATACATGAATTGACATGTTAATTCCTGTAAATGTACTGTTTATAAAATGTTGAATTATCAAACCCGAATGAGACACAAGGCGTCTTTCAAGACCAAATCGTTTTATCAACCAATACAAAAAATCGTAATAATCAAAATCTAAACCTCTAGACAGATGAAAGAAGTAGATAGTCGTTATCCAGACACAACAAATGCGATAACTGTTATACATTATCTCGGAATGGGTACATACATTTGCACAAAACACAAACGATTGACCATGTTAGTCATAAACACAAAGACTTTGATCCACCTAAAGACGCAAATATTAAATACTTTTGAATACGTCGAGTAATTCAACATGTTAAGTGACAGTAAATATACAGCAAAAGATCATGTCAATGATATTTTATGTCACCACAAGAGTGCAGACAACTGGACTGATGATACCCGCAGGAACGAAACATCCACCAGCAATTGCATCGACCAAGTAGTTGTAAAAACGCATTAAAGATACCAATCTAATAATTGGAATTTTGGGTCCTCAATCCTCTTCATCTACATACTTTATTTGGCCCTTACATTTTTTTCTCATTCAAGCGTCACTGATGATTCTTTTGTAGATGAAACGCGCGTCAGGCGTACAAAAGTATCAGCCTGATATCTTTGGTGAGTTGTTTTCTTTTTGATACACCAGATGCACGTTTCATCTACTTGACTTATCAGTGGCGCTCTTATTAAAACAGTTAAAATACCAAATCAAAAATGAAGTGCGAAAGCACGATGTTGACTAGTTTAGAACAAGTTCCTATTTTAGTTTCTTCCATTTATATTCCTTATATTAGAAAGAATGCCCTTTTCCCTAGAAAAGACACATAAATGTTGAAATCAATGAGTTTATTCTTTGATTGGAAAGTGGTGAGACTGGAATAACATTTTGTTTATATATTCAAATATTTAATTTACAATATATTGCTATTTATTATATTAAAGAAAAATTGTTAAAACAATTTCAGGACCAAGTCATTGGTCGGATCACTACCCTCGTTGTAACGGACAAAGACAATCACCTGTTGATATTCGAACAGGTGATGTCGAGTTCGCATCTTGGTTGACAGAGCTACAGTTCTATGGATATGACAAGAACTTAGGTCAGGGAGAGCCTTGTACCATCAAGAATAATGGACATACAGGTACATGTATAAACTAATATTTGTTTTATATATATATATATATATATATATATATATATCTACCAGAAATACTTAAATTTGAAAACATATATCCTTTTTTATCCTTCAAACTACTACTTTACCACGAAAATACAGATGACCAATCAAACCGAAGCGATATACGAATAGTATACGTATATAGTCTCCTGGTATCCATTCTGTTAGAAGCAAACGATAACATTCAAATTCCTGTTAACGTCACAGTTCATTTTTATGTCCTCTTTGCAATCCGCTTAAAAGCAATGTCGCTTTCTTTAATTACGGAAATACTAACAAGTTTTCGTAAACTGAATGTAAATGTTACATTGCAGGATAAAACTAAATTGACGGAAAACATATATTGATTTTGCACTCGTTATGTGACAGGAAAAATGTATACTGTATATATATTAAGCGACATCCCAAATTTGATACTGTCAAATATATATGATGAAAATTTAAGATTTGAAAATCGAGGTTTTGGTTATTTGATCAACATTACTTCAGGGAAATATTGTTTGTCTGTATATCTTATTATTATTAATAACTTGATATAGTATTCCATGTTTTACAAGTAATAATCTTGGACTTCACATGAACTTATCTCCAAATTTTCTAAATTAATTTAAGCAGTAAAATTCTTCACAGTGGTGTTATATTTGTGCTCCAATGTAAACAATTAAAAGACGAATACGTTAATTTATATTTAAGCAAGTATGGCTATCACACACAGTCTTAAGTTACGTGGAGCACATCTGAATGGCGATTATCAGCTAGCGGAAATGCATCTCCACTGGGGTTTTAACAACAGCAGAGGGTCAGAACACGCATTGAATGGGAAGAAATATCCTGCAGAGGTATGGAAACGAACATAAATATTATGAATTTATAATTTGCAAAAATATATATATTGTAAGAGAAGGGATTTTGGAATGATGCACACAAGACAATAATCCAGTGTAATACTATGAAATCACAAGTATATGAAAAGAACCGTGTTTTATTCATAGTTTTAAATCATATATCAAGTTAATAAATATACAATAGGTTATCAACACATATTAATGAAAATAACACTACAACACTACAATGCACAAAATAATTAATCTAGTCAATTTGAATATAATTGCGTGTATCGCTTTACATTGATGACCATGGGGAGAACTACTGTTGTACTTTTTTTAAACCCAAAATATCGTAAAATGAAATTGGATACCCTGCATTTAGCATACTTTTCAATAACATGTGGCCAAATCGCTGAAAGACCCCCCTCCTAAATTATTGAAAACTATCATTCTGCATCAACAATAATATATTAGTGTAAATAAGATACACCTGATCAGGCTAACACTCTCATATGTATATCTAATACTTTTCTCGGGTATTTCTATCCCTTATCTTTCCTTTGTTTGATATGATTCATGTCAAGAGTGTCTTTTTATTGTTCCTTTGAAATCTATAGTTAAACATACAATGAAAGCGATATCTATTATTATCATAAAATATATCATTCCAGATCCACTTCGTTCATTATTCAACAAGATATGGTAATTTGTCAGAAGCTATGAAAATGCCTGATGGACTTGCAGTAATAGGGGTTTTTGTTGAGGTAAGAGGAGGTATAAATATGCTGGTTGTAAATTCAACATTTAGTTGAAAGCAAAAGATGAAGCTGCACAAAACTACAATGTATGTGATGTATGTTTACACAGTTTTGGATCCCAATTATTGTCACATTAACCTAGTTATGTCTGTTTTGGTTGCTCATTCAATTTTGTCAATATAACAGAACTATAAACAACTGTTATACAAGTGGAAGGTTTATCTAGCTATAAAGCAAGGTTTAACCCACCATTTTCTTCGAAACATTCCTGTACCAAGTCAGGAATATGACAGTTGTTTTTCAATTGTTCCGTTGATTGATAACGTTTGATTTTGTCAGTTCTTATGGAATTCCCCTTTTTGAATTTGAAATAGAGTAATTTTGTTATACCTATTTTACACGAAACAAATCATTATGGCAAAAATCATTTTATCTTACATTGATTCACTAAATATTTTATTTTGTATTCAGTTTTGGTACACAAAGTTTGATCAAATATAAAACTAACATGGTTTGGTATTTTAAAAAACAAATTGACTTTCAACACTCAATATCTCTTTGCTGTCTGAAACATTTGTTTCCCTCTTTCTAAAATTTAAAGTTCACGTCCGATTGTTTCATGTACTATGTATTAAGCTATCGAGCATTTATGTTTACAAAACATTGTTTAAAATTAAAACTTAAATTATCGCTTAGAAATAAACACTAAATATTACTCAGAAACATCATATCCCTACATTTCAATGTTTATAACGCTGAAAGTTATGTTACTTTGAACTTGATAAACGGTTATATTTTTTTAAACCAATGGGTCGCTTCTAGAACTGGTGAATGTTTCGTCTCCGATGGTATCAATACAAAGTAATCAGTGCTCCTCAGCTGACATAAGATATCATCCATGCGGTCATTTTTCTGTAATTTTTTTCTTCATGAAATAATAAAACCAGAAAAACGCTAAGGGTTTTCTACCCCATAGCTTAGATAGCCAAATTTGGCAAACCTTTTTAACAGGGATATGCCAAAATTGTTAAGTTTTCCAATGCCAACATAGGAGTTAAAGACACAACTATCAGGCCATTGGATTAGTCCATCTTTCTTTTAAGAACCATTCCTACTGTTTGTATTCTGAAACGGTGTAAAATAGTATTTCCAAACATCCATTGATACATATATCAGAACATAAACAGTTAAAGTCTAGATTTATTCATTTATTTTCAAATGGATGAATTCAAGTTGATAAGTGAACGAAGCTAAGTTTGGCGGATTGAAAAGCTTATTTTAGTACTTTGTACTTTGTACGCAAAAAAAAGTTTTGATATTAAGATGGTATTATACATTTTAGCTCTCATTATTGATTATAATTGCAGTTAGTACCAGAGGATACTTATGCCTTTGAACGGTTAGCAAATGGAATTGACAGTATCCTAGAATATGGTATGTAATTTGCCGTTGGTCAGATCTAAAATATGATTGTCTTAAAACAGTTACTCGATTACTAATGCACTTACCAGTACGTTATATCAATTCGTTATGAATTGTATTACTATAAGTATTGTTTCACCTAACCCCTTTTCTTCGACAAAAATATAAAATCTATTAAAACAAATAGGTTTTCAACTATTTTTTTAATACCGTAGTAGAAATGTGCTTTTTAAGTTTCTTTCAAGTGTCTTCATTTACTTTTATTATATTTCATTATAATAATTAGACAAGCAGTACTCGTAAATCAGTTTTTTTGTTTTTTGTTTCCGTATTTAAATAGCTTCAGGTGTTTGTACATTCGTCATTTACAATTATTAAGAGTTCACTACAATAATACATATCGCGTTTGATAGTGAACGGAAAGCTAAAATAGATTTTTTTATATACCAGGATAGTTGCATTTTATCATTAGTGACTGTATTGAAGAATCATCTCGCATGCGATTCCCGTGGCTTGTCTGTTTATCACCTTTAGATCGGATACATTCACCAAACCGCTATTGTATTATGTTTGACCACCAGATTTGAAATATAACGTCTCAAAATATGCGTAAAACGGCAGATGACACTGGTGGAGCACAGATCTTTTTCTCTTTCCGTTTTTTTGGTCTGGTCGTGTTGCTCAATCCTATTTTCTCTGTGGGATATTTATTTGTCTGCTTGTCTTTTTTTATGACAATATTTAATGCTTTTCGTCATTTTAATTTGCCCTTGTTATATTTCCCTTCTGGTTCTACATGAATATTCTAATGGATGTCGGTATGTTACTTTTTCATATTTAGTAAGTTGTGGTCTTTAAAATTTAAAATGTTACCAATATATTAATAGATCAAAGAAAGTACTGGATATAGTTACTGTTCAATTGTAATATCAGGTGGACGTCAGTGCTATAGATTAAACAAGAAGAGTGGTATATACAGTTTATACTAAAAATATAAATTAGTTTTTTTTTAATCAAGAGATAAGTTGATTATAGTTCCCTCTCAATGTTTAACATGTTTTAAGACTACCTATTTACAAACAGAACCACCTCAATTTATTCACGCGTACAGATAGATTTTATTTTGAATAATTAATTTTTCAATGCGCTTATACACCATTTTAAAATTTAATGACTAAACCTCCAAATCTTTGATAAGAAAATGAGGAGTAAACAGTGTCGATCTTAATTGAGAAGTTTTTGTAAAGTTGAAAACATATATTGTATAAGTCAACGACCAGCCAACCTGAACTTTCGACCGTCTTGTGCAAATATTTATGAAAACTACTAACAGATAAATAAAAAAACATTGTGAATATTGTTTGGGGAAAACAATACATACTGAAGGTCAACGAATTCACGATAAAGTTTCCGACTATAATGTTTTGTCGTGTGCAAATAAATATGCATCAAAAGCGATGTGAATATATTTGTGAGTAAATGTGAATATAGTATATAACCATGACTAACTCATTGTACCAGTCTTTATCCAAAGTATGCAATTGCCTCTTATAATTGCTCGTCCCCTGACAAAAATGTCTTCAAATCTCTGATAAAACACTTGATTTTAATTTATTTCTCTCTCATTTGTCAAGCTCATAAGCGCGTTTGTATGTAACGCAGTAAATAATGACGTAACTGTCAGACACAAAGTCATGGAATAAAAGTTCATTTATAATATTAGTTCTAGAATGTTCTGAAATAATTTGCACTGAAAAACATATGTGATTACTTGTGACTAATAGCATAAAGGGTATAGAATATGTATTCCAAAAGTAACATATTTTTGCAACAAATATCATAGCATTGTTTATAACAAAGTTTCCAGTGAGAACTTCTGTTAGGTTGAGCAAATATATATGTTGAAATAACAACCCATTTTGATCTTGGTTCAAAATTACGATTAAATATAATTTTTCATAAGGTATTCGTGTTCATTGTTTAAGTTACAACAGTTACAATGAGATGTTCAGAGCAGGCCAAAATATTAAAAAAATGCCTGGTCTTGTTTCGACTGTTTGGAAACAAAACCATGTCGTAAAACAATTGTTTAGGTATATGTCTGTGTATTCCATGGAAGTAAAATTTGCTTTAATCTTAAATGAATAAGGTGATAAGTTGTTGTAATTTATAATGTCTATAGGTACTTTATTCTTTCATATAAAATTAACTGTAACGAATCTTTGTATCTGTGCTAATTACGAACAATGCACAACATTTGAATATAGTAATTTTTGCAATTTTTGTTCCCCAATACTTTCAGTTTTTAGTTTCCCTTTCATATCATGCTATCTTTAGTTCCTGGTGGTTTTGCTTCTAGAACTACGGAGAAAGGTTAACCTTCGGTCAAATCTACAAAACTGTTAATGTAGACGTCAATAGAGATCTTCAGTAACTAATAAAAAGAAAAAACCTCATACAAACAAAGTTCAAAATATAAATAATTTTATTTTACAAAGAGTAATTAAACAAAAATGTATATATAACCCACTTCATGGACGCGTAAACAGTGATGGTATTGGTTAAAGATGAGAATGTTATCGACCGGTAGAGAGGGACGGAAACTGTTTGATGATTGAACTTTTCACCAGACTATATCTACACAATAATTATCAGTTATGAAGTGATGGGCGAGCCTTGTCCTTTAATTGAACTTATTAATTTTTTATACATGAGTTTTTCTGACATTATAAACAAACTCATGTATGATAATGACAACTAAATTGAAAGGTTGGTTTATTGGTTGTCTATATTAAGTAACCACATATCAATTGAAAAAAGGATTGCCTCAGATGTATTACGCATACACATTTTTTATCATTCAAGTAACTTAAACCATTAACTAGTTCGTATATAACAGTTAATTAAGTATATGACGAATATATGGTATCCCAATTTTGAAGAAGCAGAGTAATTAAGCTTGAAAATTATTGCCTGGAATTTTTAGTTTTCACGAAATAACCTTATCAGAAACTAAATGGTCAATTGAAACAAAATTCGGTACTGACATAAAAATACGGATATTGTTTGATTGACGTTTGCTCTGATTCCTTGCCCGTATTTGACTATACTTTAGCTCCTTTTTTGTGTGATCATCTATTCAACGTCTGAATAAGAACATTAATCGTCGAAAGCACATCTGGTGTAGTAAAATTGGTATCGTTAATGTTATTGAAATACTAATTAATATGAATTGGCTGTTCTTTTAGAACTGTTCAATGTTCCAGCGAGCTAGTCGTTATAACTCTCTCTCTCTCTCTCTCTCTCTCTCTCTCTCTCTCATAAAAAATACAAAATAATTGTTAAAAGAGACAAAATATATATCAGATTCTATATATACAAGTCTAAATTGAAAACAACGTTCAAACCTATGATTCTATATATATATATTATATTATGAATGAGTAAAAGAAAGTATTCGATATAGTCAATAAGACAATACCCACACAACACAAGAAAATAAAACTTCTTCAGCTTAAAACAATACTATTTAACAAAAGACAAGTTTCTGCACCATAAAAAAATGAAAACAACACGTTAGATAATTCCATGCGTCGAAGCGCTTTACTGGATTTACCTTCATCAGGAACGCTCAAAGCCGAATATTTGAAAGCCGAGGATGTATAAGTACCGAAACAGTTGAAGAGCTTTATGACAAAAAATACCTTAAAAATAGCCAAATCAATCTAAGGTCAACTTTGCCTGAGGGAGTTGAAACCTAAGTTTCTTTATAGTTTCAAAATTTATAAACGGGCAATTTTAGACAGGTATAATGCTGAAGAGGATAACATGATAACAGAAAAGTTAAACAGTAAAGCATACCACAACAGTAAAACAATAACCATTTCAAAGAAAATCTCAGTATTCACATACCGGTATAATATTGTGGGTTTTTTTAAGAATAGAAAAACATATAAAATATATGCTTCAAATCAAGTACCTTTTTGATTGAAATATAATTATGTTTGTTCACTGAAAATATGATTTATTCCTGTTTTCATATTGTTAACATGTGATATGTTATCACAGAATTTGTTTTCATTTTGGTAAATTTGCTTACAAAAACAGTCGTAAATACAAAAAGGACAATATAATCTTTCAGTTGAAGCGGAACCGACAACACCAAGTCAAAAAACACGAAAATACAAATAACAGTCTACAAAAACTTACGTAGAAAAACTTAGGAATGGGAATCACGAAACCCACCAGAAACAACGGGGCTGACGAGAGTGTCGGTTACAAAAGATAGGGTTTCAATTTTCTCATTATAAACTTTCTATTTTATTTCTCGGTTTGAGTGATACACCAGGGCTTTCGCTTCCTTTTATTCTAACTTATTATTTTTCATGATTTCCATAATAAATAGTTGCAGCTTTAAAGGAGGTTTTTACACCAAGGATTGTTAATGATAAGGTTTGGATGATTTTTTTGAAAAGTTCAACAGACAAAATACTGATATAATTGACCGTTAAGGAATATTTGTGTCACATATCCATGTTAATCTTTTCTCTTGTCGCAGCCACAATTCTGTCCTCATTTTCGTTTTGATGACAACATTCAATGCGATTATTCGACAAGTATGTTTTTACTTTTGGCCATGGTCTTGTCTGTCTTTCTTTAACATATGATTTAAGATGGTGTCTTGGTATCTTCTTCCTTTGATATATTAGTTATAAAATAGAAATCATGCGCCAAAATTAATCATTTAATATCTGCAATTTCAAGTATATTTCATACAGCACGTAAATAGTGTAATAAAACTCATGTATGATACCAGGATTAAAATTTTGTACGCCGGACGCGCGTTTCGTCTCCAAAGACTCACCAGTGACGCTCGAATAAAAAAAAATCAATAAGGCCAAATTAAATACAAAGTTGAAGAGAATTGCAGACCCAAAATTCCAAAGGTTTGACATATAAAGCTACGATAAAAGCACAATCTTGTACAATGTCAAAGTTATTTAAATAAAAAGAATTTTGAAATATTGAAATATTGGTATTAAAGTTCGAAATGAATGCCATTATTTTAAGTGTGCTCAACATTCACAGAAATAATTATATACAAATGGCATATATACCTTAAAGTAAATCATTCAATAAAATACAAAATTTCCGTTAATTCCTTGACGATTCCACAACAATTAGAAATCATCATGAAAGCCAGCCTTCAAATTCAGAAGGGCACAGACGTCTAACTTTGTAACAACAACAACAAACGACTTATATATTTATGTTTTATAGGTAAAAAGGCGAACGTTTCCAATGTAAGGATGCTTGACTTTTTACCACAACGGAAGAATGCATTTTATCACTACAGAGGAAGTCTTACTACTCCACCGTGTTACGAAAGTGTTATGTGGTTTGTAATGGCTGACACTATTCCTATGTCTGAACGACAGGTAAATAAAATAAATCTATGTACATATACAAGTCATTGCCGTAATTAGTATAGATTTTTTTAGTTTTTTCCTTTACATCATAAACGCAAAAACACAGCACTGGTCTTCATAAAAAAACACAGCACTGGTCTTCATAAAAAAACACAGCACTGGTCTTCATAAAAAACACAGCACTGGTCTTCATAAAAAACATTGGTTATTACCACATTATTAACACATCAGAACTTAACGCGTGATCGAACAACACAATATTTCACGCGTATGCGAAGTGCTTGCGTGAATTATCATTGTTGTTCGGTCAAGAGTTAATAACTTTTTTTAGATATTTGAATTGTTGTATCAGTTATTTTTTTACTACATTAGCTTTACATGTAATTAAATATATAATGAAATGATCTATCTTTTTCTTCCTGTTTTCACTTTGTTTTGATGCACCATTAATAACACCGTCTTGACAACACCTTTTGTGTCATTCTAGGTAACTTGTTATTAGGTCTTAAAACCATGTCAATAGACTATTTAACATGGGTTAATTTGCCTATTTATTGTACGAGGCTATATTCTCCATAATGCATACCCATTTGATATTAAACGATTGTAAATCATTATCATAACGCGGGCGTTAACTTGATTAAAGGCAATGAAGCGTAAACTTTAGGTCATGATTAATTACCTTTTTGGGAATGCTTTTATTTCCAGATACACATCCTTGCACGTATAAATCGTATTCATTCAACACTGACTTTCAAATATTCCTTCCGAACGTTCCTGATGGAGGTGAATCAAGATCAGCTCTTCGGAGGAACGAAATTTATGAACAATATTTTTTTTTTTTTTTTTTTTCATTTGTACCAAACTATACGATTGTAGGTCACTCGGGATATTAGGGAAAAAACGTTAATCATAATGTGAAATTTAAAAGATGTGTTAAAACAACAGAACCACCGAAATGTATTGGTGTCTCACAATGCATATGGACATCAAACAATATTGCTTTACGTTTGATATTTTCCTAGGAATTTGAAATGGCTATGGATGCATATGGTGTAAATGGCATATGGCTTTGAAAATCTCCGATCTTTTTATTCAAACCTTGTCTAGATTCGGGACGATTAACAGCGTGACACAAGATGTAGACACTTTACCATGTACAATATGTAGATTTCTTTCCTGATATCATTGTTTTGTTAGTTTGAAAGTCTTATTGAACACAACAACACATGTTCATCAAAAGCAAATATCATGATGTCATGTAATGGCTTTATAAGGGACTTCCCGTTTTGAATTTTCCTTGGAGTTCGGTACTTTTGTTATTTTGTGAGTTTTTTCAACAAACGATTATTTTGTGTTCTTTTTGGGTTTTTTCAACTTTTGAGTTTTTTAATGTTCCCTTGGTATCTCCTGTTTAGTTTTTTTACATTTCCTCAAAGAAAGATTATGAAACTTCATCTGTTAATAGAGAAATAATGGGTCATTTTAATTAAAAGTATCTTTTTGGAGGGTAGTCTGAAAACAAGTTGCAGAATCCTGCCTCTTTTTTACATTTCCTCAAAGAAAGATTATGAAACTTCATCTGTAAATAGAGAAATAATGGGTCATTTTAATCAAAAGTATCTTTTTGGGGGGGAAGTCTGAAAACAAGTTGCAGAAACCTTCCATAAACCTACAAGTAATGTTTTCATCTAGGGAACTTTGATCTTTAATTGTTTTCTATCTTAATTCTTATAATTTTGTGAGGTCGGTAAAGTAACTTCGTACAAAACACAAGACAAGTATTCTTCACATTTCTGTTTTTAAAAAATGTCCAAAACTGTCTTGGTTTTGTAACAAATGTATAAAAGTTCTGGTGCACAATGTTAACCCATTTATTTTAGTTTTATTTTGTTTATTAAAGCTTGATAGGTTTAGACATCTGCAAGAGAAAGTACACGAACATGTTGCTGCTACGGGAAAAGCCCACTCTGTTTCAAGTCGAGTGTTTAAATCGGACCCAGTCTATATAAGGGAAAATTGTAGGCCACTACAGCCATTGAATGGCCGAAAAGTCTACAGCAACATAATGTCATTACAACGCCCACAACTACGTGATTTTGAGCTTCCGTCGGTCAAAGTTAGTCCGATAAGACATAATTATTTACCACAGGGTTCAAATAGAATGTCGTCTAATAACCATGCCAATTCTGGAACAGATTACATATTTCGTGGATTGTCACCGAGTTCAAACAACCATCAAAGGCAAAGTTCATTCAATGGGGTAATATCAAATGGGAACAGTCTGCTCATTGGTAATATCAAGTCAAATAATATCAATGGTGCCCTTTATCAACATTTACGACCGGACCAGCAATATCCTAGACAAAGCGGTCCCGTGAATAAAATTAACACAGGACATGCCTTCAGCAATGGCAACAGTGAACGTATGCATGTTTTCAAAACCCCCGACACAGCTTCGGTTCTTTCCGATCGTCGGAATGCAGGGAAGTCAGGGAAGTCAGGCCCATTGTTGGACTATATATTCACACAGATGAATGGACTCACTAAACCGAACACTCAAAATCAAAGACACTATCACGCAAATGATCATCCAGGGATAGCACAGCCTAAAGACAGGATATTTGCTGGACTTTCTGATTTTCTAGCAAATCCGGTGCAATCCAGGGTTTTGTCAAATCCTGTTGTAAATAACAACTATATACAATCATCTAGTAATGGTAATTTCAACAACAATAATCCAAATAATTTCAACCAACAGAAGCTAATATCAAACAAATATGGAAACCATTTGCAGAAGCATATTGGTCAAACTTATAATAACCATCACAACGTTCATCCAAGTCTCGCTTCTTATCCCATACCTAGGTCGCAGAATTACCAAAGACCCGGAAATTATGTACCAGCTAAAATGTATCCGGACTACCATCAATCAAGGTAAAACAAAATATTAACACAGTTGAAGCATATAAGTGTCATATATATAAAACTAGTAATACTGCAAAGGAGAATTCGAATTATTTGTATACATATGCCTATGTATTTATATACTTCTATAATGCATGACATATACAAATTATGTTATGAATAATTTAACATTTTCATTAAGCATACACAAATAAACCTATTTTTATTTTATTATATTATCTTGAATAATAATGTCTGAAAAACGAAGCAATTTTATATCATAATTCGTTGTATTGCCTTGATGAAATACATTTTTAGCAGAAACATCAAAATCGTTCCCTTTGAAACTAAATATATATTCTTTTCAGAAGTGGAAATTGTAAGCAGATCTTAATTTCTCGTTGGTTAACTTTAGTAGCCTGTTGCACTAGCACTAGCATTCACAAATTAGATTTTAGCATAGATCTTTATTCACAATTTGTTACATGACTTGTAGAGCCATAAAAACAAAACAGGTAATTGCGTAGCACATCACTGCTTTATACAATGTCGCTAAGCAAGGAAAAAATCAATATGTGTAGCTTGTAAATACTTTGCTTTTTGCATTGCAGTGTTAGACATCATGGTTCATGTCAAATGAAAAATCTCCAATAGCACCACACACCACAAAAGTTTGCCATACGGTCATTCTAATGATTATTTATACAGGTCAAGACTCCCATTTTCTCTAAATTGCTGGTACTTACTTATCCATCAAATACATGACTTGCCTGTGTTTAACTTATACAGAATTTTACTTTAAATTAAGAAATGCATGCAGTCAGTTTTTATGTAAGCATACGTATGTGGTAATTGTTTACACTGGGTTTTTATATTGAAGTCTTGGAGAAATTGTGTGTTTATTGGAAACTTTGAAACTTATAGAGTGAATACCTTGACATTGAAACACATTTCAAAAGGTTTTAACTTTAGAAAAAATACTGCATTTTGGAAAATCTAACTAAACAAAGTAAATAACTTGGCACTGAAATGCAACATCTCATTGGCTTCTGAACTAACTGAGCGTTAATTCTTTAAGGCAATAAGCATTCTTTTAAATCGAAATGTTTTAGATTATGTGTACAACCCGTACTTGAGATTCAAAAAGATTAATCTTATCTTACGTGTTTGTGTAAACTTGATGTGAGATGTCAAGTATCAATTATAGGGAAGAATGCTTGATCTTATCTTACGTGTTTGTGTAAACTTGATGTGAGATGTCAAATATCAATTATAGGGAAGAATGCTTGATCTTATCTTACGCGTTTGTGTAAACTTGATGTGAGATGTCAAATATCAATTATAGGGATGAATGCTTGATCTTATCTTACGTGTTTGTGTAAACTTGATGTGAGATGCCAAGTATCAATTATAGGGAAGAATGCTTGATCTTATCTTACGTGTTTGTGTAAACTTGATGTGAGATGTCAAGTATCAATTATAGGGAAGAATGGAAAGAAAGAAGTGTTTTCTATGACGATTTTTTTTTAACATGTACATGCATCACAGATAGTATGAGGCGAAACCAAGGTAACGATGTAAATGACTGCTTGTAAAGTATTTGAAGATAACCAATTATATCAGTATATCTACCAAGTTTTTTTTTATCAGGAAGTTGACATTATTCAACAAAACTTTTCAGGAATAATTATAGAAATTCTTTAACCTTACTAGCAATACTGATAATTTCAGCTCAGTTATCTAGCTCTAAAGTGTTTAGGGTGAAACTGCACAGTTTTGAGAAAAGAAATTCTGTCATTTACAAAACAATGATCAGTGTATAATGAAGTGCTGGTCTATTACTTTAACACTATCTAGTCATATAATTTTAATACGATACAGAACCCGAATAATTCATACCGTCACCGTAAGCGATCTCTCGCAATAGAGAGTTAATGTAGCCATTGTAGGTGGCACGGTAGTATTTCCTGGCTCACAGGGATAATGATACCCATTTTGGAATTTTCCCCACTTTCTAACACTACCCAAAATTCTACATACACAGTTAACTGAAGTACTTTCAGTATAGTATTCAGAAATTAATTTGAATATGTATAATGCCCGTTTACTTATTTTGCTATCTTCATTAACCTAAGGCCAGTGCTTTTAGGTCTTTTATCGTGCAGTGAATACAAGATATAAAAAAATTCTCAAAAATTCGTTTTTACCTGTATGTAAAATTATTTCATATTTTTCCACACCTGATTCAGTTTGGGAAAGCATGTTCAGTAGATACTGTATTTTTTGTCCAATCACACTGTTCAGATACATTAAGTTAAGTAGGGTACACAAAAGAGCAACCTAAATTCCGAATGTAAATACTACCGTGCCACCTTAAGATCGAAATCTTCGGATAGCACGATACACAGGTAAATATTCGGTTGCTTATTTTTAATTCATGAACTTTTTCTTTGACTCATCTAAATATTCATTAAACTGTATATAATGCATGCATACTTTATGTAAAATAACATGATATCATGAAAATATTCTAAACATGGATTTATAGCAAATTTTCCATGAATTCTCTTTACCTTCCTCTTTTGAGCAGTATATAGCACTGAAAAACAACTTAAAAAGTTCGATATGAAAATAAATATTCTTTTTATTTCTTAAATTTTATTAGTAAGATCATTTTTATTCTTTTATTTTTGTCTACATATTATCATACTTTTAACTTGCACATTTATCACTTTTCCCCCGTTTTTGCAACTTTATGCACAACTAGTTCATAGATTTATTCTATTTGATGATTTATTTAACCACTCTTAAAAATCAAATGTATTGTTTCTCTTTCCTGATTTAGTCATGCTCCTTTTGCATGGCTTTGACAATGACATTGCTTTCACTCGATTTCTCTTTTTGTTATCGAAAGGTATAGATTAGAGAGTCGGGGGCCAGTAACAAGAAACTTCTCTTGAAGTTCTCGTAAGTCATGGTTTACGATAGCACAAAGAGTGCGCTAAGAATCATTTAAGAGTGTAACCAGAACCATTCTTTCCTCGCCCTTTTCTTTCTCTTAACGTTTTAAGAATACCCTTATGGCGGTCTTATTTTAAGCACACTTACTAACTTTTCGTCCTGTCAATCAACAGTTTCATTCTTTGATTTAGTCATTGCCAAATAAAAATCTCTCGTGCGTTTTGAGGTAATAAGATTTTTTGCTTACATAGTCTAGTAATGACGATAATAAAATTAACAACGTGTGAAATTTAAGAGAAAAAAGAATATGATGGCTCAGTGCAAAAGACCACGAAAACCGAATTTTAAAACAAGAGGAATCGGAAATTAGACTATATCCTGAATTGAACCGATAGTTCTTGATAATTTTTCATAAAATCAAGAGGATTTAAGCGGTCACGGAATAAAGGTCTTGTCAAGCGATCTTGATTTCTTCGCATGTTATTCGTCATATGTAAAACAAGGGCCATTTGCATTCAAAGATTAGTTTATGGGTGGGTAGAGCCACACTAATATTAAAACGTGTTAAGTAAGAATCGTGTTACGATCGTAAATAATTAAGTTAATGCAAAGAGTTCTTACTAATGGACATAAAAATTAAGATGTTTTAGAGTTACTATAATTAATAAGACTATGATAAGGAGTGCAAAGAATCCCCGTAAATCCGTAAGAAATTCGAATATGTTAAGGGCTGTCAATCCTTCTAAGGATGATAAAAGATTGCTTCTTGTTACACTCTTAGTCACTAGGACAGTCTTAAGGTGATCTTAAGTGCTGAGAGAGCGTCTTGTTACCGGCACCATATATGTAGCATTATCTTATTGCATGCTTTTTGCATTTTGGGTATGAGTAATTTCAATATTATATGCATGTAATGCAACGAAGACAAATCAATTATTTTGGGTGAAAAATTACCAATTACAATCATGATCATGTTTATGTTTCACTTAACACATTACGCTGCATGTGTCACACATAACATTTTTAACGCTTCATGAAAATCGTGTGCACTCCTCAAGGGTATAGGATTGCTGGTTAGATCCACGACCAAAAACAACGTAGCATATTAAACAAACAGAATAAAAAAAAATGGTACAAAGTCGAAAGATATCTTCGAGAAAAAGTTACAAGTTGATCTACAGACTTATATGGTCTGAGCTAGTACGTTAAAGATTCGTTTCATAATGTTGGTCATGTAAAACCTTATCCAAGTTACCAGACTTATTATGTGTTAGGCCAGACGCGAGTTTCGTCAGTGGCGCTCAAATCAAAACAGTTTGTAGGTCAAATCAAACACAAATACTGTTTTAGTTCTGAAACATTGGCTTTAAAATATTCGGCTTTGAGCGTTCCTGATGAAGGTGAATTATGGCAAGCCGTTCCCGTCAAAACTATGTTTAAACCATTTTTTCGAAAAAATTACACACTGAGAATTAAAAAAATCACACTGAGAATTAAAAAAATCACACTGAGATTTAAGAACCTAAAATAACACTCTGAGGAATCGAAGTTACACACTGAGATTTAAAAAAATGAAAAACACACACTGAGAATTTAAAATTGCACACTGAGATTTTAAAAAGACACACTGAGATGAAATAAATTGAAAAACACACACTGAGAATTGTTAATTACACGATGAGATTTCAAAAATACACACTGAGATTAATATTCAAATTACTAATGAATATTCATGAGATGAATAAATCAACAGATTAATATCTTGGTCTCCCGAACTCTCGTCATTATAATGAAATACGGTTCCTACAACCAACATTCGTAATAAATTTCAAGACTTAACAACTTTTTTTGCTAACTCATATAAACTGTTTAAGCATGGTTCCTTTTCAAAAGTCTTTCAACTGTTACCCTGATTTCGCAAGGTAATCTTTATATTTTTGTTACGTTTTTATGCTATAATAGGCACTTGGGGAAAAAAATGACTGCATTGTTTGTACTTTTGCAGATTGTTCCAATGTTTTCTTATAATTTTAATAAAGTTTTTTACCATTTGGTTATATTTTGTTACTGAGAGTAAGTGGGTATTTTTCTTGTTCTATTGGTCTTTGATAACGTAGTTTTTCTATACGTTGTATTTTTAATGTTTTTTATGAAACAGTTAGCGCCAAATTGAAGGACTAACGAGTTCTGTCCCCTATTTGTTTTAAGCTTGTAATAGATTCAGAGTAAGTATGCTAATTAGATTTGTGCGCATAAAAAGTGCGCACACTGAATATCAGTGTGTAATTTAAATTCTCGGTGTGTAATTTCAAATTCTCAGTGTGTGTTTTTCAGTTTATTTCATCTCAGTGTGTCTTTTTGAAAATCTCATTGTGTAATTTTCAATTCTCAGTGTGTGTTTTTCATTTTTTTTTAATCTGAGTGCGTTTTTATGAAATCTCAGTGTGTAATTTTTAATTCATAGTGTGCGTTTTTAGGTTTTTTAATCTCAGTGTTTTTTTTTTTTAATTCTCAGTGTGTAAATTTTTCGAAAAATTGTTTAAACATAGTTTTGATGAGAACGGCTTGCCATAGTAAATCCAGAAAAGCGCTTACGATTCCTGACATTTATAAAGTGTTTGTATTCATTATTTATTTTTAAGACATTTAAACTGAGAATTTTGCTGGAAATCGTATGCTCCTTATTATATTTGATGAATCATCCAAAAAAAGTAAAAACGGAAAGACGTTTTTTCGTCGCCATGATATTGGTGGTTTTTCATGGCCATAGCATATAGACCCTCTGTATGCTACCTTTATGGCATCCTAATAAAGAACATCAAAGATTCGAAGCGTTTTTGAAATGAGTGAATCAAAACAGAAGACTTTTCTGGACTGCTACTTTGGACAAAATCATTGGTTCGTACATACTCAAATTTGACTATATACAATTTGGACATATCCATCCTTTGTACTATTTTGCTTGGTGAACACCTCTACAGACTGATATGTTCAGAATTGAATTATAATGTATGCTCACCAGCCGAAATATATGAACCAACAGGGCTTAACTGAGTAGTATCTCGAGATTTTCAGATAAGTCATGAGATATATACGGAAATGTAGTCAACTGATGAATCTATATGATATATTACCGATTGGTTTTGTTTGTTGGGGTTCGTGTGGCTCCGTTTTTAGTTTTCTATGTATTTTTATAGTGTTGTTTGTCGTTTTCGTTTGTTTTTTTGGGTTTTTTTTTTTTTGCCATGGCATTGTCAGTTAGTTTTCGACTTATGCGTTTGATAATCCCTTTGGTATCATTCTTTTAACGAAGTCTTAATTGTCAGTATCAACAACATTGCCACGTAGACATAGTTTACACGAGAGATTGTAAATGATATAGAGTAGTATTCAATTTAAGGTATTGAAAAATGTTCATTGACTTGGTTAACACTGAAGACACTTTATTATTGGATTATTTTATTTGAGTATGCTCGAGAACAAAGATATGAAACTGGAAAAACAAAACAAAAATATAAGTGTTGCTAAAGTCTGCATATAAAGTATTGGGGTGGAGTTGACAACGGTTCAGTTCTAGATTATGAACTGTAAACTTACGGCAATATTTATTATGAACTATTTTTTGGACTGTACCTGAACTAATGAAATTGAATGCTTCGTGCTAATAGCAAAGACTGTGCTTACTTTGTCGACACAATGGTGCTTAGTATGATGATATCTGTTTATCTTCGTCGTGTCGTTTTCAATACTTATACAGATGAATAACAATTGCTATTAAAGAAATGAATGAAGCAAAGTATTAACTCAGTTGCTTTGGAATGGAAAGCAGTTTCTAATCAAATTGTATAGAATGCAATCTTTTATTGGCATATATGTTTATCAATCTATATTTTCATTATAAATTAAAAATCAAGTGAGTAAGTATTTTTTTCAATTTCAGTTCAAACTTAAGGTTAAAGTTAAGGTAAACAAAACCGGGTTTAATCCACCATTTTCTACATAAGGAAATGTCTGTACCAAGTCAGGAACATGACAGTTGTTTTCCATTCGTTTCATGTGTTTGAGCTTTTGATTTTGCCATTTGATAAGGGAATTTCCGTTTAAAATTTTCCTTGGAGTTCGGTATTTTTGTTAATTTACTTTTTAAGACTATCTTAGTTACAACTTGAACATATACAAAGTACTGCATAAACATTTTAAACCAAAAAGTATGCTAACCAATTTTTATCTTTTTTACAGCTTTGACAGTTTTTGGATATGGCCTTTCCTGATCAACCATACTATAAAAAGATGTGCTAAGATAATAGAAGATATTAACACAAAGAAAGATATAGCACCAGAAACTATCAAAATGTTTGATTGTTTTGGACGTAAATGTGATTTAATTGAATATGTTATGTATCTTGTGTATCTACTCTTGTTTCCTTATAGGTAAGGTTAAGAAATATTTTTAGAAAGCTTAAACAATATTATGTTTTGAGATTGAAACTGGATAAATTGAGATATATCAGTTCGGAAACAGAATTTAGTACAAATAAATCAATGTTCGGTTGGGATCAATTCGCAATTGAGTTTAACTGCAGCTGCATTTGAGATTTGGTGTAGTTGAAGTTATATTAGTTTGAAGATGAGATTGAATGAGAGATCGGACTGTGTGAAATTATTATGAATCAGTTTTGAATCGCAGTTAACTGGGAAATGTCATGTTGGAAACTCGTTAAATGGGATCTATCACATAGGCATTGTATGTCAATGAAAATTATCGGGTTTGGATAAAATTTAACATGAATGCACCAGTTTCAGATTGAGTATTACTGAAATAAAACCGTTTGGAATTTAGATAAATCCGGATTTATAAATTATAAATTAGGGTTATGTAGACTATATGCTTGGGGATGGGTTTAAACTAAGATTTATATCTTTAAAATTTTAATTATCTGAAATATGTGTCCTTTTAAGTTTGGTTTTCGCGCATATCAATTGTTTAAATCTGTTGTATGTGAGCTTTTTGTGTAGGAAAATGGTACTTATGTGGTGAAACAAATATGTTGTAATACATTTTAATGTCCTGATGATACAAATATAAAGTTTGACATTTTAAAGGTTCGGAGTACAAAATAATGTTCTCTTCTTTTCAATTAAATTTGACAAGTTTCATTAGTTTTTTAATTTTCTTATTTAAATATCAATTCTTCATAAGATCACCGCTTAATTTCAATTTTGTTAAAAAATAAGAAATTATTCATTTTTTCTTTTTCTTTTTTTTTTTTTTTTTTTTGAAGGGATTGGGGGGCTTTGAAATGTTTACTTATGTCATCAGTTATAATTTGACAGAATGTATTTGGTTAATTAATTTGGAATAAACTTTAGAAGAAATGTGTTGTGGCTTGCATGTTACTTATATGATTTATTTCAGTATCATCATACTAATTGTTAGCCCATTTCGTAGGATTTCCCCTTTTCTAGAAAACATTTCGTAGGATTCCCTTTTCTAGAAAACAGATGACAATTTCCATACACACAAACAGTGAAAAGGTTGCTAATATACATTTATAAAAATAAGAAGATTTGGTATGATTGCCAATGAGACAACTTTCCACAAGAGGCCAAATGACACAGACTATAGGTCACTGTACGGTCTTCAACAATGAGTAAAACCCATACCGCAAAGACAGCTATAAATCCGAAATGACAGATGTAAAACAATTCAAACGAGAAAATTAACGGCTTGATTTTTTATGTACAAAATAATGAACGAAAAACAAATATGATATACAGCAACAAACGATAACCAATGAATTACAGGCTCCTGACTTGAGATAGGCACATATAGAATGGGGGTTAAACTAGTTTGTTGGCACCAACCCCCACCCTCGTAACCTGGGTCAGTGGTGTAACGGCACAACATATAAAGAACAAACTATGCAAAAACGAAAAAAAATATGAGAAACAGCTTTAAATGTCATTTAATGACAACAACTATAAAGACTCGACTAACAATTTCCACCCTGTTGATATATCATCAGATGCTGACTTTTCTTTAACTTCTATAGTTTTGGCCAAATATGAAAAATGCATACAAGGTTGTAAACAGATCTTTTGTTATACTGGTACGATAAGTCAATATCTACTTACATTGTAATAGTATGTATATTGTACAATAAGTCAATATTTACTTACATTGTAATAGTATGTATATTTTACAAAGACAATTCGTCAGTTCGTGAAATGATTGATTGATTGATTGTTGGTGTTTTAACGCCACTTTTAAGCGCCACATTTGGGCTAGTTCGTGAAATGATAGATTAATAAGAAATTCAATATAAACAGCACAATAAAACCAACAAGTCATCAGAGTTCCCTGAACTTCATACACGGTCAGCAGCAAGTTAACCAGGAAATACACAGATTTATATACTTTTTTTTTATTTTATTATGTACTTTATGCTACAATTTTCAGTAGTATACTAAATGTTTTATTTCTAAAAAGGGGAATCAAGAAAAATAAATATGCTACATCTTCTGTACAAAAACATGTGGTTCTTTCAATTTTCCGTACTAACATTTGTGTATCTATTTTTAGTCTTTGAATATGTTCATCATTTCAGGTGGCACGATAGTATTTCCTGGCCCAAGGGATAATGATAGCCTTTTTTAGAATTTTCACCATTTTCTAACACTGCCCTAGAACCTACATACATAGTTAACTGAAGTACTTTCATTACAATATTCATAAATAAATTTGATGACTGTTAACTTTTTCTGCTATCTTTATAATCATAAGGCTAGTCTTTTATCATGTAGTAAATACAAAATTTTTAAAAATTCCCAAAAAATCATTTTCGCCTGTATGTACAATTATTTCATATTTTTCTACACTTTGTTCATCCCTCAACTTGGGAAAGGTTCATCCCTCAGCTTGGGAAAGTATTTTCATTAGATACTGTATTTTTTGTCCAATCACAGTGTTCAGATACATTTGACTTAAGTAGGGTACAAAAAAGAGCAACCTAACTTCAAGAATGTAAATACTACCGTACCACCTTTATAAATCATTACAAAACCCATTAATTTCATGACTAAAAAGAGATGGTATACAATACTATACATTTATTTCCCGTACCTGAGGGAGATATGAAGATTTGTGCACCCAAGAAAATTCATATTTCCCGAGGGCCTATAAAATTCATATTTCCAAGGGGAATATGATACTCAGGGGGAATATAAAGTGTTGTTCAATGTCACGTGGAATGGTCTCAGCCAATCAAATATTGATTAAGCTATCAAATTTAATATACAGTGGAACATTATGGTAACAATAAAATGTAACAACTTCATTCAGTAATATACTATCGTGCAATACAAATCTTGGTTAGATAATAATTTGGTCCTGATAAATATTTTTTTCTCGACAAAAGCGAGATAACGATGGATAACTTCAATTCTATAAATCTTTTGAATAAAGCTGAAGTTTTTGAACGTAAGTCTGTGCAAAACTGAAAAAAAAACTTTCTTGACAAAAGCGAGATAACTTAAAATAAACTTCGAAATCTTCTGAATATGTTTTTAAAGCATAAGACTACTATGCATAATGTAACATAGTATAAAATAATTCATGGAAGCCATAGATTTGTTGGACATTTACACATGGCCTGGGCCGTGATATTCGAATTTTATCCTGAGCGTTAGAAATTTGTTTCAAGTTGATTCAAAAACATGTGATGATAGATGATATAGTTCGATTCGTGTCAAGATTATAAAAACTACGTCGTTTTAAAGAGATCCATATATAACTAGAGAACAATTTTACATTTTTGGAAAATTTCTTATTTTATAAAATATAATAATTGTACGCTGACCAATATTACAAATAGAATGTATTTTCAATCCAACAAGAAAGTTTGGACTTCGACATAGGAAAACATTTTGGCTTAGCGAAAACTGCATTTACTACATCAACAATGTCTCTCCATCCTTTACATGAAAAGATAAAGTTATCACTAAAAATATATTATACGTTGATTCTTACATTAACTGGGATAAAATTACATAACACTTTTATATACAAATAGAAATAAAAGATGGGGTTTTCTCTTTTTTTTTTTTCAATACTGAAGTATGAGTTAACTTTAAAACGATAATTTTCCGTATTTTGCCTTAAATTCCACGGTCAATGCCATATTAAACGGCTTTATTTGTAGGGTCGTGTTTATATTTTATTTTATATTTTTCTATGTTGTATTTTGTGGACAGTTTTTTCGTCTTTTTTCATTTGGCCATTTTGTTTTTTGTTGTTTTTTTTTTCCTACGAATTACGTTTTTTATTGATCCCTTGATATCCTTCCCCTTTTTCTGGTTAATTGTAAGATAAGAAAAATGGAAGAAGGAACCGACTTTTGTGTTTAAGGCTTTCAACATTTGCAGCGGGATTAAACGTTTTAATGGTACCAAACCTTCTCCCTTTTCTGAAACAATAGTATAACATCACAACATAGAAAAACACACTATAAAATATCAATTGGAAGGCTTAACTCAATCAAAAAACGTAAATTAACACACAATGAACGAATAAATTTGACCTGTGACACCTGAATGCAAATACACAGTTAAAAAAAATTACAAGGGATAAATAATTAAAGTCAAAAGTAAATAAACAGGTTTAAACAAAGTTAAAGTATGATATCACTGTGAAATTTCAAACATGTCTGTAATAAATTTCCCCTGTTGTCTTCATACAAAGCCCGAAACATCTGAAGCTAAAAATGGAAGTAGAAAAAGATAATTTCATTACACTAGTAATTGGAATGGTGTGTTTTACTCCGTGAAATAGTTTGGAATGTCAATTTCCTTTTAAATGTGATTAGAATTTCAAATGTTTCCAGAAAAAAATAATTAATTAGTCTGGAAATTTGGGATTGAGGCTACGTTTCTATCGTTTAAATTTACATTAAAAAGTAATAACAACATTGTTTAAATATCTTTGTTGTGTTTACTACAACATGTTAGGAAAGCGGCTACATTTCATAAGGCAAATGAAACTTTTATTCAGGACAAACTGCGGAATAATCTTCATAACTTCCGTAGATTTAATGTATTTGTTCATTTGCAATGCTCCTGATCAGTGAATGCATAATTATAAATAAGAAAACATATGTAAACAGCATGCGTATAGCTTTGACTATGGAATACCCAAATTTTAATAATTGAGTTTGAGGAGAAAAATATTTTCCAATCCGTTATTGAATGATGTTTTATCCGTAATAGTAAACCATTGGATTTTAACATGAGTAACATGACAGTGTTATTAGAAGAACAGGACATGATTTCCCTTCCGGAACACCTATTTCATCCTATTCTGCAATCGGATAAGGATTGTTGAATTTGTATTCTTCGATTTTACCTTTGACAATTGAGTGCAATTAATCAGGTAGTCAATGTTGTATTGTGTTTACTTTGTCTTCCAAAATACCGAAATGATAGACGGAGTTAAGTGTGTTATTAACTGGGGTTTTCTAATCCCTCATCAAGAAAATGGGGAGAGTGTTATAAAATAAAGCATTAGTCTAAACTCGTCTTGTGTTAATGTGTATCCCATATCCGGTACATCGTCAGTGGTTGTGTTGGTGTATGGCATAGTATATTTTGTCCTTTAAAGAATTTGGTGTCCAGGACAACATTTCAGTTTAATATCTTTCTTAACTTATTCATAAATTGTGCAGCTCGAGGAGATATGCTCAACATATGGTATAGACATAAAAAAATTTGGATCCGCATTTGACTTTATTCAACTCAATTGTTATATAAAAGTTTTTGTATTGACGCTGGATTTTCATTGTTTAATTACACTGTTGTTTATATCATGTTATATGATTTCAGTACGAAAAAATATCAGTTTCTGGAATAACTAACATCTCTCAATCATTCGAGACCTAGAGTTAAGAAAATGAAAAATGTGAAATATTTGAGATCATTTTAATCAAAGGGCCTAAGCAAAAATCCAACACCGTCTAATGTCAACTTTATCTGAGAACATCCGATCTTACTTTTGGCACGAGACCAAAAGTTTCGAAAGTCAAAAACATTAAACATTTTGAGAGCATAAAAAAGAAAAAGAACTAAACATTGACTGAGTAAACAGGCGACCAGAAGCAGGTATTAAATTTCTAAAATTTCCTGTACAAGAAAAGTAGTAACACTAACCTGGCTGGCTGATATCTTGATTATTTGCGGGAAAAGGGACCACGTGACGGTTTCCGAACATGGTGGACTTGTCATGCTGCCATGATATCTTATGTAATTGGTTAAGTTAGACGGGATCAAATCACTTAAATTAACGTCATTCACTGAATATGTATTACCTACAATAAAACACCGTAAGTTGAACTCCAGATGTCTTATTCCTTTATCTTCAGGTTCATTGTTTTAAATGCATGAGCATAAATTTCATAAACCATTAGTTAAGTATTTTCATAAATATATAGAAATAAGAAGATGTGGTATGAGTGCCAGTGAGACAACTCTCCATCCAAGTCACAATGTGTAAAAAGTAAACAATTATAGGTCAAAGTACGGCCTTCAACACGGAGCCTTGGCTCACACCGAACAGCAAGCTATAAAGGGCCCTAACATGACTAGTGTAAAACAATTCAAACAGGAAAACAAACGGTCTAATCCATATAAAAAACGAGAAACGAGAAACACTTATGAACCACATCAACAATCGACAACAACTGAACAACAGTTTCCTGACTAGGTCAGGTGCAAACAAATGCAGTGGGTTTAAACGTTTTAACAGGCGCCAAACTTCACCCTAACCTGAAACAGTAGTGTAACATTACAACATATAAAGACACACTATACAATATCAATTGAAATGGCTTAACTCGATCAAAAAGACATGTTAACAAAAACAAGTAAAATACACTGAACGAATAAATTTGATCTATGACACAATATAAATACAATATTAATAAAAATGTAAAACAATGTCAAAAAGACAACTATAATCGGGGACAAAATGACGTTAAATAAAGTAACGTACACAGGTAAATTTAAATATAATAATTTTGTTGTTAGGAGTACGGAAATATTTTTTACAAAATATATAAATTTGTTGTTCATAGTAAGAGTACAGAAGTGAAAATTTATCGTCATACTAAATACTTATCAAAGGTGGCTACATATTAAATTTGTGAGACTAGATATAACACAAAATTAGTAAACATTGAATAACAAAAAAATATTAGTATGACAGCACTATGCTGTTTGTTTTAGACCATTACAATATCACAATAAATTACACGAAATTCATTTAAAACGCAGGAAACACATTCTTTTAGTGAAATTATATATAAAAAGCGACCGCAAACTCTATTATGTAGTGTAATAGCTTGATTCAAGTATGCTGCCGAATAAATGCTTTTTAAAAACACATACTATCTCGATGTATTTGGCTTGTATAGTAAGGTTTAAACATATGCAAATCATTTCATTAGAGTCCACCGATAATAAGATGTCTTTTGGCTGTTTGTGTCGTTGGATTGCTGTGTCTTTAACATATATTTCACAACTCTTTCCATTCAGATAAGAAAAGATTCATTTGTGTGATGTTGTGGTGCTATTTGATTACCTTTATATATTACGTTACTCAGATGGCTCAGCAATGGAGAAAACTTCGGATTATGTTTTGATACCTTAAATTAAAAATGTATATAAAGCTATATCAAATTCGTGCTTTTTCGTTATTCAGGTTTTAATCTATGGAACAATTTACCCCAACCATACCAAATTTTTGCAACTATGGATTGTTTAAAGAATAAATTTCGGAACATTCTGTCATAAAATTAAAATGCAAACTAAACATTTTAAACACAGTGTGTATATTCATTGGAAAATACTGAATTATTTAAAAAAAAAATGGACCCCGTATTTCAAGAAAAATAGTACGACAAACTTGCTTAGTCAATAGGTAAAACCATTTTTATATATGTGACGAGAATCCAACTTTCTCTCTAATCTATAACAGATTGAGGACAATCCTCCACATGGGGAATAGAACCCCAAATGAGGAATACTTTTCAAGTGTTAAAAATATTTTGTTTATACTCATTTTACACTTGAAATGGCAAATATTCATGAACAATACAGCAAATTTTCCAAAATTCTGATTTACTGAAGAGTTACAAGCCTATGAAAACTTCGAAAAATTGACAATTTTCAAGGCTACTATGTTTTTTAAAACCCAAAATTAAAATATGGTTCTTTGGAAGAAATTGTTCTATTTTCTATAAATGTGTGCCATAAAGCTGTCCATAAACAATACGGCGACGCCAAAAAACCTATACAACGAACTAATATATACACACTGACTCTTTGTCGATATAAAGTAACAATGAACAATAATATATACAAGTTTTATACAATCTAACAACCTGTTCTCTAGATAGGACGTTCTGTCACCACAAGACAGTGCGGGCTGGTACAGCCTGTCCGCCGAGTGGGACAGTCTGTCACTACCAGACAGTGCAGGCTGGTACATTCTGCCCTCAGAGTGGAACAGTCTGCTCTGTCAATTCGACCAACTTGTACTTGCACTCCGTACAAAGTGTCCTCCGAGTATTACAGCTGTACTAGCACTTAATGTAATCGTCGTACGCTCTGTTGATTTATGAACATTGACAGCTCATTGACAGCCTCGAGTGGCGTTTCCCATTCGCTTATATATATTTCCTAGATAGGGGTGTTTTCAAAACATAAGTTTTCCCGTTTGAATGGTTTTACACTAGTAATTTTTTGGGGCCCTTTATAGCTTGTTGTTCGGTGTGAGCCAAGGCTCCGTGTTGAAGACCGTACTTTGACCTATAATGGTTTACTTTTATAAATTTTGACTTGGATGGAGAGTCGTCTCATTGGCACTCATACCACATCTTCTTATATCTATATAAGATAAGATATTAAAGATAAGATCTTTTTATTCCAATTAAAGGGCCCATGAAGAGCAAAGTAATTTATTACAATGATTTTGATATTTGACACAATACTATTGATAATCATATATAAATATGAATATAATCATCTCATCATAAACATGAGAATCCCTCACAAACACCCCTATAACCTTCGACCCGGCTACTAACTTTCCCGCCAAACGTCTTAATTTGCATTACGCTTTCTCAAGCGTTTTAATTGAAACATGTATCGTTACAATAAGATTCTTCGTATTTGTAACCTTAGCGATCAATAAACATTACACAACTAAATATATCATTTAAATCATACCAGTACTGATGCACAGGGAACTTGATGGTAAGTTATCTCTAGGGCCGATTTTTGTTTAACCAACCCACTGTAATGATATAGAATAATGATATCTATTCCGGTGCCCACTACACGTGTGTCTGTTGTAGCCTTCACCAGATGCTTTCGGAACTAATGTTTTGGATGACTTTGGGTTTTCGTCTAATTTGAGAGCAGCAACTCCAAAAGACCTTATCAGAACAACACCTATCATGTGCTCGAGCGAGAGATAATCTAATAAAAATATCAATATGTGATTTCGATATGCTCATTAGGGCTTCGACGAGTGAGCGAGTTATGTTAGATCTGAATTTCAACCAGATTGGTTGGGGTTTGGACCTTAGATCTAGTACAAATACCTTATTTTGCAAAACAGTACAGATACATTTCATCTTAGAGATATATTGGATTAATCAATGTTATTAGAAACGAAAGGATATGGGGTATCCATACATGACACAAAATCAGTACATGCACAGCTAAAAAAACACAAAAGGCCACGGAACAGCGAATTCATTGCTGTTATTCATCTTAATGTCACAGTGGATGTTGCATGTTTCTGGATCCTATTCGTTTATACTGCATTATCTTTTTAAGCAAGATTTAAGTCATTGAATAATATAATGTTTAAACCTAACATACGGTCATAAATATCAAATTTGAAACACAATTTTAAAAGTAATGTGGTTATCAAACTCACCAGTCGGTGTACTGTATGACCAAACTGAAATAAAATAATTCATTTTAATGAAATTAAATGTAGAACTCAGAATTTAAGTGTGTACAAAAATACATAAATTGTACATAAATTTTTGGTTTAATTCTAATTAAAATCAGACACATTTTCCACTCTCTGTCAATAACAGTTAACAAAGACTGTTTCCTTACAATCTGGAAGCAGAACTTATCACACATGAAAAGTATCAGATATCTAGCAATTGATGTTGATAATGTTTTCACATCTTAAGTTACTAACTAGTCGGTGTCCATTGTTCTAGTATTCAGTTGACGATATCCTTGAAAAAATGTACATACAGCTGACTTAAATGGAAATACTTAAAAAAATAAATTACTTTGTAACATTTTTAAACACTGTATAAAATCTCAAACATGTCTATCATTGAAGTTTGAATGATGTTTGAAAAATAAATGAAAAATGTCTACGCTTTTTTCATTTCATGTATCAAGACTAATTGATTGATTCATAATGGGGAGGAAAAAAAACGAATCCGGTGATTCCTAATCAGTGTTTAAATCATTCAAACAAAAATGTTCACAGCAATAATATATCATTTTTAAACATATTGATACTATAGACGGAATTTCGAGAAATCAGAAAGTGTAAATGCTACATGTATCCAATTGTTCGATATTCCGATGCAGTTCAACAAGTTTTAAACGCATGCAAAGTTTCATGAAAAAAATATTTAAAACACTGCCCAATTACGTATAATTCGCCTTAACACAATTACAAAGATATTAATACTACACTACATACATGTAAAAGATGACCCACACTGCTTTCCATTTCAATTGAGCATATATAAGTAAGGATGTAACAAAAATCAATCAATCCATTTTCAATACAAAAGAACGATTACGACTTTTCTTCTATTATTTGGGTATTTACTTAATTACGTTTTCAAAAAAATATAATTTGCGTTACAAGTTGTCTGTATACTATTTGTTAAATGTTTGTCCAGTGCATTAAAACAATATCTATAATACCATTACCTGTACAGATGACACAATGGTTGCACAGACATGACACTAGCAACAGTATCAAAGAATAAAACATTTTTCGTTCCATGCTCTAAATAATATTGTTTTCTACAGAAATTCGTCAAGATGAAACAAGGAGAAAGTCTTTATATACTAGGCCGTTAAATGGAAAGTTCTGTTAATATTTTTTTTTTTTTTTTTTATTTTATTTCGAAAGCTTATTTCATAGGTTAAGATACGACCGTACGATCATTTTGATTTTAAAAAATCCAATTGCATTAATAGTTATAAAATCATCTGCATTAATTGCACTTATATGATATTTTGGAGTTTTTTGTACTTTTAAATGCACTATAAACGAAATATCGTTTAATCATTTCAAAGGATCCGGACATAATGTTGCAAATAGTTAAGTTTTGAGACTAATTTTAGCTGAAAACATATGTAAATCATACAGCTACGTAATTTCAGATTAGTTTTAGTCAGGATATTATTAATCTATGTCAACATTACCTTGAACTAAAAGCGTCGGCTAACGGTACGTGAATTCGATTGCGTAAATACTCTTCAATATTTCCATGTTTCAGCTTGCTTTTAACTATATTCGGTGTGGATACCTTGTAATCTTTTGTTGGAGAACAGAGGTATAGGCATGCGTCTTCATGGCTATAATCAGTTTTAGATATTAAGGATATAAAAAAATACTCTTAACGTCTTCGACCATATATATATATATTTCCCAGAGCATGGTCAGTATGTTAAGTTTTCATTGTTTACCTTCTATTTCATGGTATTTCTTTTTATTGTCATTGTATGTTTCTCTGTAACTTGTACACATGTACTAAGTGTTTAGAGAACAAAGTATCTACATTGAGCAATTTATTTCAATTGTATATATGATGAATAATCCGACGGTGAGGACTGCATGTTCTTGTCAATGTAAGGGATTCAGAAACAAAAGAATAAGAGTTTTTAAGTATTACAAATATTAAATATACAAGATTCCCAATAAATGGGACAACTATCCATAGATCAAAGGATAAAGATGTGAACAGTCACAGGTAACTGTAAGGCCTGCAACAATAAACAAAACTCATATCGTAGAGAAATGAAGAAGCTTTAAAAACCTCGGTATGATAAAGTATTCATCAATTCAAAAGTAAAACAAACGACCTGATTAATACTACAACAAGGAACGAAAAACGAATATGACAGAAAGTAACCAACGTCAACGAATCTAGATTCTTGGCAGTCACTTATAGAATATGTCATCATTTAACATGTTTGTGAGCACTCAATCCTCCATTAACTTCTGTCTTAAATGCCAGTCAAAACCTCAGTCCAAATTAACTTGAATTAACGTTTTAGTTACACAATTTCGATGTTTTCAGTACGCACTGAGAAATACTTCTTTAATTCGTTTTTTTTAATTTATATTCTGTGTGTAAATATTCGTGAGAACTTAATCATTCTTACCTGGACCTGACAGTAGTGCAGCTGAAATGTACCCTCTGCTTCATCCTAACCAGCTGGAACTGACAGTAGTGCAGCTGTAGCATACCCTCTGCTCCATCCTAACCTGGAACTGACAGGAGTGCTGCTGTAATGTATCCTCTGCTCCATCCTAACCTTGAACTGACAGTAGTGCAGCTGTTACATATCATCTGCTCCATCTTTACCTGGAACTGACAGTAGTGCAGCTGTAACGTATCCTCTGCTCCATCCTAACCTGGAACTGACAGTAGTGCAGCTGTAATATACCCTCTGCTCCATCCTAACCTGGAACTGACAGTAGTACAGCTGTAACGTATCCTCTGCTCCATCCTAACCTGGAACTGACAGTAGTGCAGCTGTAACGTATCCTCTGCTCCATCCTAACCTGGAACTGACAGTAGTGCAGCTGTAGCGTATCCTCTGCTCCATCCTTATTTGGAACTGACAGTAGTGCAGCTGTAGCGGATCCTCTGCTCCATCCTAACCTGGAACTGACGGTTGTGCAGCTGTAACGTATCCTCTGCTCCATCCTAAACTGGAACTGACAGGAGTGCAGCTGTGACGTATCCTCTGTTCCATCCTAACCTGGAACTGACAGTAGTGCAGCTGTAATATACCCTCTGCTCCATCCTGACCTGGAACTGACAGTAGTACAGCTGTAACGTATCCTCCGCTCCATCCTCACTTGGAACTGACAGTAGTGCAGCTGTAACGTATCCTCTGCTCCATCCTAACCTAGAACTGACAGTAGTGTAGCTGTAACGTATCCTCTGCTCCATCCTAACTTGGAACTGACAGTAGTGAAGCTGTAGCGTATCCTCCGCTCCATCCTCACCTGGAACTGACAGTAGTGCAGCTGTAACGTATCCTCTGCTCCATCCTAACCTAGAACTGACAGTAGTGTAGCTGTAACGTATCCTCTGCTCCATCCTAACTTGGAACTGACAGTAGTGAAGCTGTAGCGTATCCTCTGCTCCATCCTAACCTGGAACTGACAGTTGTGCAGCTGTAACGTATCCTCTGCTCCATCCTAACCTGGAACTGACGGTAGTGCAGCTGTGACGTATCCTCCGCTCCATCCTAACCTGGAACTGACGGTAGTGCAGCGGTTACGTATCCTCTGCTCCATCCTAACCTGGAACTGACGGTAGTGCAGCTGTTATGTATCCTCTTCTCTATCCTAACTTGGAACTGACAGTAGTACAGCTGTAACGTATCATCTGCTCTATCCTAACTTGGAACTGACAGTAGTGCAGCGGTAACGTATCTTCTGTTCCATCCTAACCTGGAACTGACAGTAGTGCAGCTGTAGCGTATCTTCTGTTCCATCCTAACCTGGAACTGACAGTTGTGCAGCTGTAACGTATCATCTGCTTCATCCTAACCTGGAACTGACAGTAGTGCAACTGTAACCTATCCTTTGCTCCATCCTAACCTGGAACTGGCAGTTTTGCAGCTTTAACATACCCTCGGCTTCGTCATAAGTTGTTTACAATTGATATGTTCACATTAAACTCATGAATAGGAATGTGCTCCTGACACAAAAACTTCACTTACACGGTTTTATAAAAAGAACATCGAAAAGCGACATTACAGTATTTGTACGTTCACCATCACGATTTATTGGTTAACCGATAAGATGTGTCTGTGTCCTCACTCACTTGGGACATGATTTCGCGATCTTAGATCTTTCGTTGTCAGAAAAGTCGCCTGGGCTGTAAATTTAACGATTGTATCCTATTCCTATTGTGACATTTTGACTGGATAGAGATTTGCATGGCGGGTGATGCATGCATATATAGCAGGAGACCACTCATCCGGTCTTACTCGTTTTTTGGTGTTTATTCGGTTCCTTTGTGTCTTGTTATTTTTAACCATGATTGTATGCTCTGACTGAATTTATGAGATTTGAATATTGGAGAACTATTGATGCTTCTTATTTGAACAAATCACGTTTATTAAAATCTAAAACATCAAAACAGACACGAGAGAGGTAGAGAACGAGATCGAAAATATACAAGCCGTATGATGGAAACAGAGGAATACCCCCTCCCAAAAAGGAAAATTTACAATAAGCATCGAAAAATCGTCCCCTTAGTCCTTTATCCTGGTTTAAAGTTTCTCGTGTGAAACTGAAGTATATTTTCAAATTAAGAAAAGGACAGATACTGCTGTGTATATTAATGTCTTTATTTGATGTGTCTATTTAATGGAATAAAGATGGATTTTTACTGAGAAATACAGGAACAATTTTGATATTTATGGAGCAAAATTAATGCCCATAGCATTGCTAGGGCAGTGTAGATGGCTTAAGTTTTTCTTGTAACAGTTGTTTGTTTAGAACCAATAACCAAATTTAAATTATCCTTTTTTATCATTTTCATCCGTTATTTAAGAAAACGTTTAAAATGATCATTTTCATCTTTTTTACATATTTTCAACGATCACCAGCGCCAATCAGGACTAAATTACCAGCAGAAAATATTCTCCCGCAGGACAACCTTAACCCATCGTGAATAACGTTTCATCAGCTATATAGGTTGTAGAATACTAACCTGCGACTCTCTTCACAAAAAATCTTTCGATTAAAATTGACCGTAAGTTTTACTGATTTGTGTATGACTTACGAGTATTTTCAGTCTCAAGATTTTTTGTGAACAGAGTCGCTGTGTCTTTAGTTTCTATGTGAATATTTTATTTGTCGCTCAAAACAAATGATATCTACATTGAAAGCACGACAGGACTGTAACTATTACAAACGATGTCTACATTGAAAGTACGACAGGACTGTAACTATTACAAACGATGTCTACATTGAAAGCACGACAGGACTGTAACTATTACAAACGATGTCTACATTGAAAGCACGACAGGACTGTAACTATTACAAACGATGTCTACATTGAAAGCACGACAGGACTGTAACTATTACAAACGATGTCTACATTGAAAGCACGACAGGACTGTAACTATTACAAACGATGTCTACATTGAAAGCACGACAGGACTGTAACTATTACAAACGATGTCTACATTGAAAGCACGACAGGACTGTAACTATTACAAATGTCACATTCTGTATGGAATGTGCAAGTTTAGAGAAATTGAAACAAATTTTTAAAAAGGGCAACACCAGGTCGTTATACGATGAATTTAAAAACAAAAAGTACAGCCACCCTAATTGCAGAATGATTTCATAATTTTATGTATTTTTTATTCAAAGATTATTACACAATGTGCGACAATTGATGAACACATGCTTCTTTTTACTTTTTAATATTTTCAATTTTCTCGTTCCTGCTTAAAGTAATAGACTAAATTCTATTTGTATGCGCTTACTTTAAATCATATATTGTATCTTGCACTGGAGATGCAGCTTCCTTAATTGATATCCTATATAATCAAAGAACATTATAAAGGGGTCATTTATTTCTAAGTGCAAATTATGGATCTGTATGTAAAATTTGATGATGAGAATGAACGCATTTAGTACAAATACAAAAGACTTTGAAGATCAAAGACTTTTGCTAAACAAGTATAGAAACAGAAAAGTGAAGCAAATTGTTTCTTCTTAAATTCATGAAAAAAATATTTAAAACGATG